GTGTGGACACGAATATTTCCAGATGGTTTCCAGATTATACACACACACACACACACACACACACACACACACACACACACACACACAGATACACAGACACAGAGACACACAGTAGATATATACACAAATATAGACTTTTTTAAAAAACAAAATTATCATTCAACAACTTGCTTTATTTCACTTGAAGTTACATATGAATATATAGCTCCAGGCTATTGTATTAATATATAGATTTATTCTGTGCTTTCTTATCAACTGCACAGAATTCCATATTATTAATATTATGTTCCATGATTTATGTAATAATTTCACTTTTGATGGACAATAAACGTTTTCATTGTTTTCTCCTTTACAATTTATGCTTTAGTGAACATTTTTATTCATCTATCTTTGTGTAGTTGTTTGAATATTTTAATACAATCTATTTCTATAAGTAAAATTGCCATATTGTGAGGATATACAAATTTTAAATTTTGGTTGTCCTTCAAAAAGTTTATAATTCACAGTCTCACAAAATGTCTGGCAAAAATGGATTATCATTTTGCTTTAAATGGCATTTTCTTCATTGTTAGTGAGGTGGAAGAAATATTCATTAGTGTTATTTGTCATTTGTATTTTTTCCATAAATTGTCTATATACAGTGTCAAAGTTTTAATGGGGTGTTAATATATTTTATGAGTTCATTGGAATTCTTCACATTTTAGGATATTAATTGTTATATCTCAAAGTTTTTCCCTTTCTATATATTTCGGCTTTTCTATTGTGTATGGTCATTTTTTTCCTTAAAAACTAAAAAAAAAATTATGTGACCTTTTTGTCAATCTTTTTCTTTATGTATTTGGAGTCTTGTGTGCATTTCCATCACCTTTCCATCCTAAGGTTCAGAAATATTCACACACGTTTTGCCCAATACACTGTTTTGGTTTTTATGTTTAAATCTTTAGTTCATCTGGAATTTGCTTTGGGGTAAGGTGTGAAATAGAGATGCAACTGATTTTCCAATGTTCAGAGGTTTTCTCCAAAGCTTCCATTCTCCCACTATCTGGAAATGTTGCCTGTATCATGTGCTACTTTCTACGTACACTGCTTCCAAACTTCCAAATGTTTCCAACATTTTCTGTAACTACATTGTCACTATACATGTTTAATTATAGTTTTATATAGTGTATTTTTATATCATTGCTTTACTAAATTGTTTTCCAAATGTTAGCTATTGTGGTACATTTTCTGTTCTATAATAGATTCCAAGTTCTAAAGCTCATACTCCCCAAAATAACCATTGAAATTTTCATTTCCACTTCACTGAATTTATGTAATATTTAGGGAGAATTGTTATCTTGATAATATTAAGTCCTTATCTCCATGAATATATCTAGTCTTTTGCGCCTCAGCCAAGTATTATAGTTTTTGTTTTCATATTATATTGTTCTTGCATATTTAATTTTACATATTTTGTAGTTTTAGTTGCTATTTTTAATAAAATTCTTTTCCATTATGTTGTCTAACTAATGATTGACGGTATGTAGAAAAGCTATCGATTATATTTATATATGGCTATTCTACTAATTTTCTTATTTGTTTAATTTGTTTTTCAGCCGGTTGTTTTGGGGTAGACAAACTTTTTCTGTAAAGGACCAGATCAGGAGTATTGTTGGCTTTTCCCATCGTGGGATCTCTGTCACAAGGACTCAGCTCTGCCCAAAGAAGTAACAACAGATAGCACATAAATGAACGGGTGTGGCTGCGTTCCAGTAAAACTTAATTTACAAAAACTGGCTGCTGGCTAGATTTGGCCCTTGGGCATGGGACGTGGTTTTCTGATTATATTCTAAGAATGCAAATATATATTTAAATTATACGTCTTTGTCTCCAAAACATTGAACTTTGAATAATAAAAGAAGCTTTGAATAATAAAAATGATCATAGTAGTCATCCTTGTCTTGTTCTTATTCAAGATGTTAGGCTCCTGTGATTTCACCATTAAGTTTAATGTTTCTTATTAATTTTTGATAGACAGTAATACTTTTATCCAGCTAAAGATGTTGTCATGTATTCCTAAGTGACCAAGAGATTTTAAGAGCAATGTGATTGAATTTTATCAAATGCTGTGTAAGCATCTGTTAATGTGAACATTTCTCCTATTATTTTCTTCATGTATATAAACAAGATGAACTATGCTTAAATTCCTGGAATAAATGATTCTATTTTCTACATTTCATTTTGGATTTCTACATCTATATTCATATGCGAAGCTACAGTTTTCTTTTTGCAGCATTTCTTTGATTTTTCATACTATTCTAATCTTGCAGAATGAAGCTGGGGGAGGGCTTCCTATCTTTTTCTGTGTTCTGAAACACATTAACTAATATAAAACATAGCTATTGTTTGAAAGTTTGCCAGAACACTCAAAAACCTTTTGGATCTAGTAACCCTTTTAGTGATGGGCTTTTGCACTTTCAGTTTCTTCTGTTATTGATCTATATGAAAAACCCTGCCCCTCCTCCAACCCTCGGCCTACACAGAGCATCACTGCGTTTCCACATCACAGTCAAGGAAAGAAGGCATCATGCACTTTAGAACAAGGAATGCGCCTTTAGGCCCCTGGAGGCTTTGGACTCCCACTTCCTACTGAGTTCTCAGGTCCCGTTTGCTTGGGCAGAACCACCTTTGGTCTCAAGCAATGGGGACCTCAGGTTGCGGATGCCCCTTAGTCTCTCCGGCTCCCTTGTACCCCCTGGATGTGGGGCCTGCCCTCCCTCTCCTGAACCATGCTCAGGCGCTGGAGACCTGGGAACTCCCTGCCAGATGGCCCGGGGCTGTGAGGCCTGTTGGGTGCCTGCGGCGTGCAGACCTCTCTGCGCAAGCTGCACCCAGTGTGGCCACAGAGGGGCAGGTGCTGTGGGCTCCCTGTGTACTCTTGCTTAAGAACCACAGTGTGGCAGTAAGTCTAAGACGGGGATGCCCTTTTCTTGGGCTCAGAGTGTTAACTTTCAGGAATGAGATAAAGGAGATGCTTTTGTTTCCTTTATCCAAGTTTCCAAGCCCACCCAGATCCTTAGGGAGCAGGATCTAGGGCAGCTGCAGAGGACTGTGGGTGTGGGTACAGGGCATTCAGTGGCCCCAGCGGGAGTGTCTCCTGAGCCCTGGGTGCAGGAGCAGAGCCTGAGGCTCCCTCATGTTTACGTTTATAAGATACAGATGTCTGCACTCGGGCTCTTTATCATATTTTGTTTACTGTTTTCTAGACCAGGGCAGAAACCAGATGTGATCTTACTGCTTCTCTACCCAGGTTTTGAAATGTCCTTTCTGGGGGTGGTGGAAGGACCCAGATGGTCGGGAGGAAGAGGCAGGAAAGGACGTCTGGGGCCCAGCCACCTGAGCAAGGGACCAGAAGCAACACAGGAAGAACAATTCAGTCCTTTTCTTGTTTCTTTTTTAAAATAAAACTCTCCCATTCTTGGGAAATCTTTGCTCTCCCTACATAGTTATGATTACTTTTATAAGATTATTGGCCCCAAATTCCTGGTGGGGAGCAGGCGCTGTCACTGTGCCCTGAGGCTGGGGGCGTTCAGCTGGGGCTGTCAGGGTGGCCTTCACCTGGCGGCACACGGCAGGCTCAGAAGTGCAGTGCCCAGAATGCCGCCCATGTTGGCCTCGTTTGGCGAAACTTGCCTTCCTCTGTGTGGGCTAGCGCCCCTAGGTGACAGCTTTGATTCTCACAGACCACACTTGGGCTGGGCTTCCCCAGGTCAGGGTGTGGTGGCTCAGGCTGGGGGGAAGCAGGGTGGAGGGGGCATGGGGAGGAGAGTGAGGCCTGGAGGCCTGTGGGTCCCCACACCAATGCCGGGCCTGGAGGGGACCAGGTTGTCCTGTGTTTGCACGTGGGGCACTGAGGCATTCACAAGCAAAGCACGAAACAAAGCTGCACTTTTCCTGGCAACCATCAGTGTCCAGTCTGCAAGAGTTGGGGTTGAGCCAGCAGCCCCGGCTCCCTGCTCTCAGGTCTCCCGTGTGGCAGAAACTAGCTGGGGAGGGACTGCTGTGGCAGGAGATGGGGCTTTGTTCTGTGCCCCTAGGGGTCACAGTGCACTGAGAGTCGGAGGCACTGAGACCCCGGGGAGCTGCTTCCAGGGCGGGCACGCTCTGGACGCCCCTGCCTCTGCCTGCCCCGCCCCCCGCCGGCCAACCGCAGCTCAGCCCAGACGCCGGTCCTGGAAGTCGTTCTTTCCTTTTGAGTGGCATCATTTGCTTCATCAATAGGTTTGCTTTTCCTCAGTTGTTGAGTTCAAATCCCCTAAGTCTCACTTTTATGGCTAGAACAACTGAGAGAATCTTCCTTACTCATTTGTCTGAGCGTTTTGAGGCAGAACTGGGGTTTATACAGTATAGTCATGCGCCGCATAAGGGACCTGTTAGGCTCACATGACAAAATCGCCTGCCGTTGCATTTCTCAGAACATCTCCTGTCATTGAGCAACAGGTGACTGTGCTTTATTCTACCTCAGCACTGTGGCCCCTTCCCTGGGGTGTGCACTGGCTCGCTGCACCAGCTCGGTGTGTGGCGCGAGTCCCCACTGTGAACGTTCATGGTGGAGGGTGAAAGTTCCCTAAACGTAAGGAGCTGCTGTCGAGAGCGGAAGAGCCGCAGTCGGTGAGAAACTTGGGCCGGAACGTGGTCTCGATGGCACAGTGCAGACGAGCTGGCACCTGGCCTGTCAAGCTAGCCGGTGGGTTTTCCATCAAAGGCCGTCTGGCCCCGGGGGTGCGGTGTGGCAGTGGGGGCCGTGTGTCGAGGTGAGGAGATGGGAGCTCTCTGCACTTTCTGCCCAGTATTTCTGTGAATCTGAATCTGCTCTAAAAATAAAGTTTATTAATTAATTCTTTAAAAAAGTTATCAGGAAAGAACATCTACAGTCATCAGATGTGATTAATAATATCAATAACTGCATTGTTACCAAATAATACAATATGTTAAGGTATTTAGGAGTAAAGAACAATGAATAATATACATCTAATTTTTTAATACTCAATATACAAGCAACATGTTCTGATCAACAGTATAAACCGCATAAAAGAGAACCCTGCTTTTCATTTGTACACTTTCATTATAGCAAAACTTTACACAATTAAAATGTACCTCGTGTAGAAGCTGTAAAGCTATTTGAATATTCGTAAAATGAAGTTATTGCTGTCTGCTGTTAATCTGTTATGCCATCACCTGTATCACTGTCATCTAGTGCATAGGATCTCTTAAATTCTAAGAGATTATATTATAGAGCAAGATTATTTTTATAGCCAAATAGGGTCAACAAGGTTTCTTTTTAAAAAATAAGTAAACGCGTCAGAAAACGTAAATGGAGCACTGTCTGCCAGGCCACATGGTAGGGACCCTTAGCTCTTCAGGTCATTTGGACAGGACAGATCTACACCCTCGGAGGACCACTGCGGTTGTTCTTCTGTGGAAGAGAAAGCACAACTATTCGCTTTCATTTTTATCCCAGGTATACTTTATGAAGAATGTATAAAAAGTGTTCTTTTTGGTCCTTGTTTTTATGAAAGCCATCAACCGCTGTGCGGCCCTCTGGGGTCTGCCCATTGCAATGTAACTGACAGGTCAACGTTTCCTTTTTCCTGGCAGAGAAAGGCCACTTTAGGGAGGACAGCAGTGTTAGCTGTGTAAGCAAAGAGAACACTCACTATCATTTTTTAACTGCCAGTCCAACTTTAATGGAGGGAGAGAGCTTGGGAAATAGGAAAGAGGCGTCTGTTTTATATTTCCTTTGCTTTTCATTGATTGGTTGGACACTCTCTTCTAGTGCTTAAGCAACCTTCATGGAAACTCTGTCCAGGTTCCTGACTCTCAGTGGCAGGTGCTAAGTCTTTGCAACCTACAGTTCTCTGGGCCTGGGAGTCACCTACACCTGCAGAATTTGCCTGTAAGTACAAGCCCCCGTGGCCAGTCCCTAGGCTGGTATAACCACTTTGGCTACGTATCGCAAGGACCTTAGGAGCTATAAAAAGTGCAAATACCTGGGTTTTACCCCTAGAGATCTGTATTTAATTTGTCTGTGGTGTAGCTGGGCTCCAAGCTTTCTGAAAGCTCCCCCAGTGACATCACGTGCAGCCAGGGCTGAGAGACCTTTCTCTACGGTGGCCACAAGACTTGGTGAGACTGTTGGTGGATTTCATCAATATGCCCAGTAACCAAGATAAGCTGAACATTATTAGGTCTCTCCAAATATTTCTAGTCTATATTGATAAATGCATATCAATTATAAATGTAAAAATAAAATAATTTGCATTGAAATCACATTATATATATAAACCAACAAAGTGCTGTATTATTGATTTTCTTACATTGACAGGGTGATACTGGCAGACGATCAGAGTATGACATGCAGCTGGATTTTTCTAGTACTGATAACAGATTATCTCTTTCCATCAACATTGCCCCAAACAGACTCAACAGAACATGCTTCAGACCAAGCTAAATGTGCTTTCTATCTTTTCTAATATCACAAATATAAAAAATTACAATTCTCCTCGTCACTATGGCAATACACTGGCTTGCCTCCTCAATGAGGTTGTATCTTTTTATAAGGGAGAGAAATACTTTTCTCTTGCTTCAAGTTAACCCTTTTATACAAAGATTTCAGTTGGAATTTGGATTCTATTGCAGTCTTTCTAAAGTTAACTGTGTTGTGTTTAGTAGAAAAATGAGTGTCCTAAAAATATACTTTACAAAGTTCAGTGCTACATAACGAGGACAATATTCCACAAAAAAGTTACAAAAATAGATTTACATTTAATAATCCTGGCTATGTGTTTAAGAGCACAAAGATGTATGCCCCTGGCATGGCAGGAGTGGCTAGAAAAGAGGCTGGGATTTCTGTTCAGAAAGGGTCCACAGCCCCTAGGCAAGGAAACACCAGCAATTCTTACGTTTTTGTGATAAAACGTGTGCTCATCACAACAAAGTGATGCAGGGCAGACATTAAGGGCAGTTCCACAGCTGCCACTTACAAGGCAGCAGCACACTCATAAGGGGGTTTGTGAAACTTCTCAGAGCACGCGAAGGGTCTGAAGGCTTTATCAAGGCTCACATTTGGGTTATTTGCCACTTTCAGCATAAGCCGCTAGTGACAAGGAATTGGAGGCTTTTAGGCTTTTGGAATGGCCACTAGTGGCCACATCCCAGGCGTATCATTGACTGCAAACTGTTCTTTCTGCTGCACAGGGGAACCTCTTGGGGCATGACACAGACCCATAGGCCTTTATAGATGAAGGGGACCTCGGAGGGGACAGTTTCAACCTTGGCTGCCCAATGGAATCACGTGGGAGCCCCTGAGTCAGTTTGACCCCTGAAGACCCCTGCCCCCTTCTTTTGGAGCTGCCCAGCGGCTCTCATTCGAGGTGAGGGTGAGCACGGCGGTCCCACCATGCGTCCGCTCTGCCCTGTGCGCGTGAAGCAGAGGCTACGTGAGTGCAGGCCCGAGGCCTTCCTTTGCAGTAAAGGTTCCCCGAACGCTTCCACTCCTCAGAATTACCTGGGGCCCAGTCCTTGGGCCCAGGCTGAACCTGAGAAAAATTAAATCAATCTATTGGTTGATACCCAGGAGATTCCCAAGGGCAGATGGGCTTGAGAGCCAGGTCTTTTTGTGCAGCCCATAGTCTGTATATGTCTGCAGCTGGAGCAGGGGAGGCTAATGCACAAGATTAAGAACTTCCAACAGACACCTAAGCTCTGTTGACTGGAATGCAACGTGATGCTGCCACTGTGCTCCGACGTACAAAGTCAGCAACAGCCTGGGCTTACAGCAGTTTTGGAGTTTAAAGTTTTGTCTCTTCTTTTTACTTCAGAGTATGACAAATGTTCCTCACAGGCTGCCATTAGAGGGACGAGAAGATGTGTGTGAGGACCACAGCCCACTGCAAAAGTCAGCTCCCGACGCTGACTTTCCCAAAGGCCCCTTAGGCTGGCCCTCAGGGGAAAAGGTGTTGCAGGCACTGGCTGAGGAAGGGACAGCAGACAGGCTCTCTGTGGCACCTCAGGGACCGGCCATCAATGAGCACGGACCCAGGAGACAGAGAGCAAGTGGTGAGATATGGCCCTCAGGGCTGTGGAGTGGAAGTGGCAGGGGCACTTCTTCCGACTGGGTCCTTGGAGAGGGTGCCTGGACAGACGGAGTGAGAACGTTCTGGGAAACACAATCTGAAAATTGGTAGAATTTAACAACTCAATTTTATGCAGGAAAACTGAAATATGAAGGAGAAGAAAAGAAAACTTGAATAGCTTTTGGTGTTCTATTGTGTTAAAGTGATTCAACCTACAAAAATACTAGGATTTAATTACTACAATCTGACTGGCTTCCAACTGCCCTCCTTCATCAATCATCTGCTTCTTGACAAAGAAGGACAGCAGAATGTGAGTGGTCCCGTCTCCCAGTTCTGACTACAGTACTTCTTTATGTACTGAGGTGAATACATGATGCAAGTGGTTTACTGAGAATGGTATAAAATCTCAGATTCTTAGAACTATGTTGCTCAGTCTTTTTACTAATCATTTCAGAGATGATAACTCAAAATCCCTGATGGGATGCAATGCTTTGGGAACTAGGGGTGCTCCAGGCCTGATTCCCAGGCCTGAAGAGAGGGGCTGGTTAGGATGGCCGTTCGCACCTTTGAGTCTTCAGTGGGCCCTGGCCGGGGCTCCCATAGCTGGGGCCACACCTGAGGCCTGTCTCCTTGGGGAAGCCTCGGGGCTTCCCCAGGCAGAACCACCCTCCCTGCCCTGGGTTCTGCCTGCCCTTTGTCATACTGTTTCAAGGTTAGGAATTACGAGTCCATTTCCTTTGCTAAATTGTTCTCAGAATCAGGGATAATCTTTTATTTATTTTTGTATATTTGGTACCTATGCTGGGGTGATATAGGTACTTAAGGGTATTTGAGAGTAGAATGGAATGGAATGAAATATAATTATATTTCCATTATGACAAAGGTCAAATATTTTCTTAACAAAACCGTAGAACTCTGATCAATCTACTTTTAAATTGCTAATTTAAAAGCAAAAGGAACATTTGTATGTGTGTGTGGCTGAGCATATCTGTAGGTTGAAAATAGTGTGTGAAACATTTCTTCCTTGATAATCTGGCCAGGGTAGATATTGACTAGGAGTGTTTAAACCATTGTTTACAGGTACTGCTAGCCAATCAGGTTGCAAGGACACACACAGACCAGGAAAAAAGTCGGGATCCTCCAACTATAGAGGAATTATTTCAGGAGGGAATTTCATTTTTTCCTAAAACATCTGTAGATGTTGTGAAAGTAGTATCATCAATTTCCCACTCTACTTTTGTATTGACCACTTGAATTCCATGATATTCATAATGCTATTTTTATTGCCAAAATGTGCCTACTCTGGCCAGGACTGTAAGTTCCTCAAGAGTTGCTTCAGGGCCTAGATACCTTTTTCACAAAGGCAGGAGGGCGGTCTGGGGGCAGCTGCCCAGGGAGGAACACATATTCTTTGAGTAAAAACTTTTAAGGTAAAAGGAAAAGAAAAAAATCATCTTCTATGAGTAACCTAAACCAATATTTGGGGTTTGAGTGGGGAAGACTAAAGGAAATTTAAGAGCAGCTTCATTTTTGTACTCTCCTGATATATGTTCCCCCCCCCCCAAACTTGATGCATTTCATCTAAGCTTCAGATTTAGTGGATATGTTCATACATTAATGTTTTGCATTATTGCTCCATCTTGATTAAAGGCTATTGGTCTGAATGCAGGGGAACAAATGTGGGCTGGAATCTTTTGTTATCTACTGTACCGTCTTCTCTTGCTGACTTCATGACAGCAAGAAAGGGAAAGCATATTGAGTGTCAAAGCTACGGAATGGAAAATAAACAAGTAAGTCCAATACTCATAATTAGAAAACACCAGTCAACCAGTGGGGACTTAGTACCATGGAGACATATACACAAAATAAGTCCAAGGAAGAATTCTACCCCCTCCGTTTCTTCTTTGCCCAGGAAGGGGTACAGTGGCGTATCCTATTGTACCTGCCTTGACTTGACAGACTACCCACCAAGCCTGCCTGGGACGTGCAGGACTCCTGTATATTTAGTTGTCTGGCAGCCAGCACAACGGTCTTGAAGCAGAGGCAATAGGACTGAGTGTCAGCGGGAAAACTGGTGGCCCGTGCTCCTCGGTCACGGCGGGGCCTGGATGCCTCAGCACAGCAAGCGCTGCAAGCAAGCTTCTTCCTCGGCGGAAGAGTCCATTACAATCAAAATCAGTGATGACAATTAAAACCCCAAAGGTCCCCAACCAATAAAAATCCTTATATATATATTTTTTTTCCTAAATATACCTCACTTAAAGGTAAACTTCTGTTCAAATAGACAACATTCTTGCCGGGTGCCTTTTTGTGGAAGCTTCACAGTTGAAGACAAAGGAATGTGCCTGCAACTTCCCAAAGAGCACCCGAGTAGCGGGCACTTCCTGGCTGAAAGAGGGGACGGTCAGCGCAAACATGGCGCCGCCAGCCCGTGGGTCCTCGAGTGTGGGCATGGCTGTCGGGCTGGAGTGACTGGGGCTTGGCTCTGGGTGTCTGCAGTCTGGGGTTTCTATCCTCTGTGGTCATGCTCCAGTAAATTCCCTGCTTGGTGGCGCTACCCTCAGGTACTCTGCATTTTCAGCTGCAGGGCCCTTGAACATTCCGTTTGGCTTGGCTTCCCTGGGAAAGAAGTCCTGCTGGTAGTCAGGGTTGTCCAGGCTGATTTGGTGGGTGCCCCTCTGGGCCCAGTGGGCAGTGCTGTCGAATGTACTGCTGATGCAGGAAGATTGGGGGGCGTTGAGATACTCGGGGTTGCCCACAGCGGTACTGTGGGGGTTCTGGTAGTGTGGGTCCCTGCCAGGAGCTGGGTTCAGAGGCTGGTTGTGGTAGACGGGGTTCTGCACAGAGCCTGCAGGCCTTTTGGGAATGCACTGGTTTATGTATTCTGCAAATGAAAAGAAATCAGAGGTGAAGTCATCAGCAAGGCATCACCCCAGCAGGATTCTAGGGCTCTTCCGGACCCTGTGTGTGTCTCCAGGGAGGCGCCAGGGCCGCCGAGACTGCCATCTTGCTGGTGCTGCAGAATAGATCATGTTCTTTCTGTGCATCTCAAAGTAATGAGCACATGTATGCTTTGCAAATTTAAAGTTCTCAGAGGACTGCCTACTGTCAGGTGTGTGTGTGTGTGTGTGTGTGAAACCAGGTTAGGAATGTTTTGGAATAAAGCTTAGATTAGTTAAATATATGTTTCACAGGTCAAGAATGGAGCAGGGAGAGAGAGCAGGGATTGAATCTCTCTCTTTCTCTCTCTCTCTCTCTCTCTCACACACACACACACACACACATGCATGTGCACACACACGCTCCTTTGTGGTTTGCTTCAAATTCTGGAAAATATGCAGACTCATTCTTTAAACAAACCTGCAGCTGACAATGCAGACGCAACGAAGACCCTGCGCGAGTTCAGCTATTTGTGTTGATCGGCTTTCCACCCCCTTCACTGAGTCTGCAAATCTGCCACAGGCCAGGCTCCAGCTCAGCTGGGGGGAAGCACCGGTGGGGCAGACCGGCTGCTGCAGGACGGGGCCTGTCTGTTTCCAGGGCAAAGCACTCACCAGGCACTGGGAGGAAGGTGTCATCCATGCTGTCCTCGGTCAAGGCGCCAGTGGGGTCTGAGCTATACCGCTGCAAGAAGCTCTCTTCCTTGATAGGACAGCTCTGCTGAGGAGGAAACCAGGCAAGGTTACTCTACTCAGGGCTGCTCAAACATCAACGTGTATAAAAATCACCTGCCATCTTGTTAAAATGCAGGTTCTGACTCAGCACGTCTGGGGTAGGCCCAGAGTCTGCCTCTGCTGCTGGGCCGAGGACCGCAGACTGCAGAGTGGCCAGGCGAGTGTCAGCGCCGCCCGCCAGAACTCTCCGCAACGACACGCTTGTTCTACCATCTGTGGTCTGCAATATGGGAGCCACTATGAATACTTCAAATGTTTGAGGAACTGAATTTTATATTTTATTTCATTCTAAGTAATTACAATTTAAGTTTTAAGTAGCCACACGAGGCTAGTGGCTGCTTCGCTGCGCAGTGCAGGCCCAGAGCAGGGCGCCGTGCATCAGCGTGTGCCAGCACCACCTACAAGGCCAGCTCAGACGCAGGGCACTGGTGCCATCCCAGAACCCAGCTTTGGTGGTGGCCTGGGAATCTGCATTTCTAAAAGCTGCCAGGTGCTCCTTGGCTGCTGGTCCATGAACTACACTTTGAATGGCACTGTGACACGTGATAGCTAATGGCTGGCCCCTGCACAGAGGTCAGGGAGACCATGCGGGGAAACCCATACAGGAAGGAAAATCCAAATCATCTGGGTCAAGAGGGGCATTTTCTATGTATCACATAGCCACGACGCAGAGTCGTCAACCCTGGTTGCTAAGGTGTTGTTCATACATACCCCGTTTCTGTCAATGCAAGCCACGGTGGAATTGTTGCTGGTTGCGCTCTGAAAAAGCAACAGAGAAGTCGTGGCGCACTTGCACATGCTCACCTGCTCCCCCTGCTGCAGGGCGGAGTCTCATGGAGTGGATACACTGAAGGTGCTGCGTTTTGTCTTAATCATTAGCTTTAGAAAAACTATACTTGGTTTAGTTTTGATTTAATTCTGTTCCTTAGTGGACCTAAAAGGATTACAATCAAATTGCTGCAATGCAATGAAATAATTAACACACTTACTTGATTCACTCTGATTCTGACTTTACCATTCGGCTAAATTTGTTTAAAACTGATGTCTTTGCGGGTTCCACTAGACGGTTTCTCTAAAACTCAACTTGCTCACGCCAGTAGACACAGCTCGAGAGAGAGAGAGAGAGAGGAAGACCGTACCAGAGAGCTGAGGAGCGGGGTCCGGGACGTGGAGGGGCTGTGGAAGAAGCCCTGCTGCGGGATGAGGTACTCGTCAGCGTCCACGACATCCTCCATGTCCTCTTCTTCCATCAGGGCGCGGTAGAAATTGGAGTCCGTGGGGCTCGGCAGATGCATCCGTTCGTCCCCCTGGTGCAGAGATTTTGAGACCATGAGAAAGGACTGGAAGACGCCAGGCCCCTACAGGAGCTGGGCCTACTGTCAGCAGGTGCCTGCATGTTTGTCAACTTTGTTATAATAAAACCGCCTGGTTCTCTGGAGTACAGCTGCTCCCCCCACTGCGCAAGGGAGCCGCAAAATAAAACATCCACCATTCCTCGATGTCTGAAAGCTGCCCTGTGAAACGCAGCAGCTTGGGAGGGGCTGGAAGGGAAGACACGGCGCCATTCAAGGATCAAGCGCCATGCTGCCAGAGGCTCTGCGGCGCGCCCTGCATGTGTGGCTTTGCTGAATCCCCGAGAAAAACCCGAGAGCTTGGCTTTGGCTTTCCGGCTGCGGAAGGAGATGACTGCCAGGCTGCCCGAGGGGAGTCGGGGCAGTGGGGAGTCTGCTGCGAAGCCAGGTGTGCCTGACACCAAAGCCCTGTTTCTCCACTAGATGTGCCGAGGCTTTGGCCTCTGAAACATGGCAGTGACTGCAGGCTGGGTGTGGGAGGACTGCACCTGGCCAGGATAGTGTGGACGGGAGGGTGACATGGAGCTGCGGGCACTTCTGGGCACCAGAGGGTTTAGCATCGGGGCCCGGGATGCAGGAGGCTGTTGAACCCATGTGGAGCACGGCGACACCCAATGCCTCAGAGGGACTCTCCCTAGGGAAGGGCAGACCGGCTGTACCTGGATGACAAGGTAGCGCTGGGGGTCTCGGGCCATCTTGGAGAATTCAATGATCAACTCACGGAACTTTGGGCGACTGTCTGCATCTATCATCCAGCCTGGGGAAGGAAGGGGAAAAACAGTGCAATCAAAACCCTGGGGGAAGTGACAGCAATGGCATTGCTTAGAGAAGGCCTGTCAAGATGGTCCTTCCAGACAAATCGGGGATGAAGAGACCGGATCTCCGTGACAGACGTTATGCAGCAACCTCTTTTAAACGTGGTTGCTGTTTAAAGACCATGTCAGCACCCTGTATTTGAACCACCATAGCAGTAACATCCTCTAGCTTGCCACACCCCTCCTGGGCCAGCATTCTCGTGGTGCCCTAGGGCAGGGCGCAGCAGCTCTCTGTGAGCTGCTCTGACTGCGGCGCCCGTGTCCAAGCCCTCACTCTCCCTCAGCATTCTTCTAGGCTGGAAACCAGACTCAATTTCCAGAAACATAAAGGCGTTGAAGAACCTGGGGTTTGGGCACACCCTGCCCTGCACTACACACCCTGTGGCCATGCACACTGGTGGACTGCTGGCCAGCTGTGTCAGCTCCTTCCCGAGAGGATGCTGTTGTTAGCCAGTGAGTGCGCCTGGCCACACAACACTAATCGAGATTGCACAAGCTGAGGAGCAGCTACTGACTGGAAAGCCTCGCGTCTCTCAAGGGTTCACATTTATTTTTCATCAGCAGGATGTGAAGCTATTTTAGGCCAGATTGCTATGTGACCTTAGACAAATCACGTGACCTCTCTGGATCCCAGCATCCTTAGCCCAAACCAAGGAAATCAAAATAGATGAACTCTGCGCTCCAAAGTTCAGAAAGGCATTAATATTTACATTAGCTTGACTCTGTCACAGCCCCGGTGCACATTTCTCGTGCAAATGCTCTTCCACACACGCAATGTCACCTTCAGAGCCCACTGCACTGCCAGTCTGGTGGAACCACATCAATCGAATGACAACTTAAATGTTTAAACGCCACACTGCAGAAGACTTCACATAAATCCACTGTTTGAAAGGTTTAAGCCAAAGCAGAAATGTTGATTCTATTACTCATAGCTAGGCATTTAAAAACATTCCGTCTCTCTGGTAACAGGCTTCAAGACGTGGGGTGGCTTGGTATTTCATTGAGCAACTCAGAGAATAGAATATGTTGGCGTAAAGGCTTACGAAACACTTTGATTTTACTAATTTGCTTGCAAACATGGGCAAATGTTAGGACACCCTGCTCAATGAGTCCCACAAGTGCTTTGTGAAGAATGCCTGAAGGAGGTATTTACAGATGCTTCTGGACTTGTGTGCTTGTCTCAAGGAATGGGAGACATTTCTCCAGGGAGTCGAAGGCCTGTCTGGCTAACAGCAGCGGTGCCTTTGCAGCACCCTGCGGGGGGCGCCTGGCGGGGCGAGGGTGGCGGGCCGCCAGTCACTCACACTTGACCATGATCATGTAGACGTCGATGGTGCAGATGGGTGGCTGGGGAAGGCGCTCGCCCTTCTCCAGGACAGAGGAGATCTCACTTGCCGGGATTCCATCGTAAGGCTTGGACCCAAAGGTCATCAGCTCCCAAACGGTGACCCCTGAGAGGATGAAGTGTGAGTCAGTAACAGTCACAAACCTGTCTTTAGTCATCATTGCTGGTTACTGTTGCTTAATGTTTAAAACCTATGTTTCTGTACACCTGGGCACTTGTTTGATGCTGGAAGCCTCAGTTTCCCTCTCTTAAAAGTGAGATATAAATAACCGTGTCTGTCTCACAGGGTGGCTGTGAGGGTCCACTGAGATAATACAGCTAAGAAGTTCAGCACAGTGCCTAGCAGGCAGTATGGCAAGTGGCGGACAAATGGCAGACTTGGGCCGTCCACCTGGACAGCACTGACGCCAGTGACGGAGTGTCACAGTGCCTTGGGGCGGGCCGTGGAAGTGTGTGTTTTTAAATCATAAAAAAACTAGAAACAAAATGGCTTATGTTCCTCTTGATAAACATAAAACCTCATTTTAAATTCCAAAATCTACCAACTATCAGGATTAAAAGCAAATGAAAGCAGTGGAAATCCTAGACCAGTGTCTTTTCAGATGGGCCCGGGCCGCCCTCCTCCGCGAGCGTCCCCGCCCCGCAGTGCGCACAGGCCAGCGTCCCCGCCCCGCAGTGCGCACAGGCGGGCGTCCCTCCACAGTGCGCACAGGCCAGCGTCCCCTCCACAGTGCGCACAGGCCAGCGTCCCCGCCCCGCAGTGCGCACAGGCGGGCGTCCCTCCACAGTGCCCACAGGCCAGCGTACCCGCCCCGCAGTGCGCACAGGCGGGCGTCCCTCCACAGTGCCCACAGGCCAGCGTCCCCGCCCCGCAGTGCGCACAGGCCAGCGTCCCCGCCCCGCAGTGCGCACAGGCGGGCGTCCCTCCACAGTGCCCACAGGCCAGCGTCCCCGCCCCGCAGTGCGCACAGGCGGGCGTCCCTCCACAGTGCGCACAGGCCAGCGTCCCTCCACAGTGCGCACAGGCCAGCGGCCGGCGGCGCCGGGAGGGTCCGGACGGGATGGCGGGCTCATCGGCCCCAGGCTCGTCCTCCTCAGACCTGGCCTCTGGCCGCATGTCACCACAGACCTGCCTGGTTCCCAGAGCCCGTTCCAAGCCAGACACGCGGGACCCGCACGCAGAGCACGGTGGCCACGGAGGAAGGCAACAGTCCAGGGGCCAGAAAAAAAGATGCCGACAGATTCTTCTCACGCCCCCGCCCCGCCGTGCCGGGCATATGGACCCGGAGACAGAAAGAGGTCGCATTTCCAGGTCTATGAAGTCAGGTACCTCTTATTTAACGATGTTTCTAAAGAGGTACAATTAATTCTAGTGGGAAGGCAGGAATTTTAGGTTTTGGGACGAATGATGACAAGAGAGGGGACCCGTGTGGGGTGGTGGTGAGAACTCGCTCCAACTCCTTAGTGGAACACACTGGGCCCCTCATTTAATAAAGGGAGCATTTTGCTTGGACTGGTATTAGACAGTAGAGAAAACAGGATATGATGTTTAAACTAGAAATTCAGGATCATGGTCTAATCATTCCAGTGAGCTGCTGGCAACTATCATCTGTTGTGACAACGAAAACTTCGATGACATTCTAGGGATGCTGCTTCCTCATATCAGCTGTGACTGTCCAGAGACATGAAGCCACTGGGAGAGGGGCAGCCGGTGAGGAGGAGCTGGAGCCTGTGCCCAGCCACGCTGTGATTTGGACAGGGACCTGGAGAAGGGACCCTCTTGGAGTGAGAAGCGATGGTGAGTGTCTGTCTTTCCCCACAGCACATGTCCAGCCATTCCCTCTGACACGCAGAGACCGCTGCCCACCGCACCTCCACGGCCATTGAGAGAGCTCACCACAAACCTCGGCCTCTGCCATGAAAGCTGCCCCATGAAGCCTGCTTTGCTAGCTCCCTTTGGTTCACTCTAAGTTCATGGTGAGAGGTCGGTCTGGTTTGGGCTCGCAGGTGTAGGCGTAGGTAGGCAGCTCCTACGTTCAAGTTCTCTCTCCCTCCCACGACCTCTGCCAGCCAAGTTCGCCGATATCCCCAGTGACACAGGGTTCGGCAGTTAGATCCAACTTCCCTTGTGTGTTTTCTCAATGTGATAGACAGCAACTGTTACCTTGTCATTAGTCACTATCTTGAAAGACAATATTTGCAGGTCTGAGCAGTCAGTGTAAATTAACTAACAGTAAGAGCCATCTGGCTTCAGAACAAGTCCATCAACATCAGGATTTCAACTCACCATAGCTCCAGACATCGCTCTGGTGGGTATAAATCCGATGTAAAATTGACTCTAACGCCATCCACTTGATCGGCACCTTGACAAGAGACGAAGCAATAAGACAGCCATCAGCTTCCCTCCGCTGAAAAGGATTACATCACCCTGGGCCTAGTTACCAGTGACAAACAGGGTGAGGCCAGGCCACCCCGGGCACCCCAGGCCCAGCTCTCCCTCCTGGCAAGAGGGGATGTTAGACATGGCAGGTAAGGGCCCCTCTGGGCTGTGGCCGCTCAAGGCCAGGGGCCCCACCCACTCAGGACTCACGTGTGTTTTCAGGGCCAGTGTCATAGGGTTGGTGGCTGCTTGGAGCCAAGAAGCCAGGGTGAAACCTCAGAGAGTGGGCTTCTGGGGGGCCTTCTGGGGACGTGCACCCCTCACTGGTGTGAAAGACCCCTGTAGAAACCCCAAGCCAGACAGAAGGGCCAGTCCTGAGTCCCAGACACCCTGGGAGCTCTTGGAACCACACAGGAGCTTTCCATGTGTCTGAGATGTCCTCAACAGCATGTTGCCACCAAATTAGCTGTGACTTTTCCCAGCTGTTCTTTTGAAGGGTGCTTATGTCCTGGGGGGAGGTTAACCCCTAACCCTTGCTGACGATCACTCACCCCCCAGCAGCTGTGGCTTGCACTGCCAGAGGAGACTCGGCTAGGCCAGATATTGGTGGCAGCTGCTGGAACCTCACCCAGAATGTTTGGGGAACCTCACACCAGTTAGAAAACACAGCTAGCAGGTAGGGAGCCTGGCGCTGGTGGCAGGCAAGCGCTTGCGGCCTTACAAGCTGGCCCCTTACTTTGCCCCCCTCCGCGTGGTACTCTTTCTCGTCGGCACCCAGCAGTTTGGCCAGCCCGAAGTCTGTGATCTTGACGTGCTGCGGCGTCTTCACCAGCACATTCCTGGCTGCCAGGTCGCGGTGCACCAAGCGCCGGTCCTCCAGGTAGTTCATGCCCTGAAACACAGTGGCAGGTCGACCCCAGTGTCACGGGAAGGTGCCATGCCAGGCTCTGAGCTCCTCCATGTCTATAAGGGACTACACTTGAGTCCCTCTTTGCCTTCACCCATGGACACGGTGGCTTGCCACTGGCGAATGTTAGTAGCTAAGTACTGAACGAATGGAAAGGCAGATAAATGAAGCCGTAACTGGCTGCTGGTCACTGACTCTTCTCCCCCAACCCTCCAGTTACGAGCCTGGAGGCGCCAGGCAGGAGAGGGCAGTGAGGAGCAAGAGCTCTGCCCGGCTGAGACGCGGGCCTAGCTTGCTCCGAGCTCGTCACCCCACCTCCTGGTTTCCTTCCTCCTGCTGAGTTTGTGGTAAAGCAGGGAGGACTCCTCGCCCGTGCCGGGCCGTGGCAAAGCGCTGCCTCTCAGTGCTTTTAAGCCACACTCTTATCTTGCCTTCTTGGATTGTCTTATGCGATTCACTGCTGATAAAGATTTTTGTCCAGTTTTACTTTCTGCTATTGCTTTTTTTCAACTGATGATGTGCTTTCACAAGGCACCACCTCTCTGGCTGTCTTGCCCCTACGATCTTGCTGCAAAAGCATAATCCATGCTATAAGCACAAGAAGGAAATGCTACATGGGAGTGCCTAGAAACATCACCCCTGAACCTCACCCACAGGCCTCTGGTGTCCTCCGCACAGACCTTCCTCCCTGTTGGCACAGGCAGTCACTGCTGGCCCTGCCCCTCAGTGCGCAATGGGCCAGCTGAGCTCAGCTCCCTTGGGCCTTCCTGAGCTCCCACCTGCCGGCATGAGCATGGTGGCCCGGGCATGAGTATGGTGGCCCGGGCATGAGTATGGTGGCCCGGGCCTTCTGCGCAGGGCCAGGCTGGCAGGCAACAGAGCAGGGAGGGGCCGAGTGCTGCATACATCTCCTGTCGTGTGTTCCACACTCTCTCCACCTACCCGCAAATGCTCCTCTCCCCTGCTCCCAGTTCCCACTCTCTGTAGGGCTGGCCGTGGGCCTCAGAGATGCCTGCCGTGGTGCACCGAATGGGAAGGAGCAGGGCCACCACCCCTGCCCTCCTCCAGCATTCTTATAGCTAGGGAGGGGTCTCCTTTTTGGTCCAACTGCAAAAAATACTTGTAGATAAGAAGACAGATTCCCAAATTTTCTGGCAAATTCTTTGCTTCTTTTTGCACAGATATTACCTGAAAATTATTAGTTGACTTGGCATATCAGAATGAAGTTTTTCATTCTAGAACAAAACCAGCCATCATATGAAAGAAGGATCTCACAAAAATGCAATCAGGAATTAGTCTTTGAGTGCCATTTTTAAAGCCTTTAATGTCTTTCTCTCTTGCAAAAGAGACGATTGCTTGCCACGTCTCCGGTACACATGGACTCTCCCTCCTCCCCTGTGAGACTGAGAATGCTGAGTGTTCAAGACACTGTTTGAGTGAAATGCTTCCCTTCCTGAGGTTGCCTGTGTGCCAAGAAATCAGGTCAAAGGGGCTCATGCCTACTCAAGAGGAAGAGGCTCTTCTGGAACGACACTTCCAGATTAGCAATCACCACGGTAGGTGGGGAGGGGGAGGGAGGGAGAAGCTGAGGAAACGCTTCCAAACAGGGACTGACTCCAGACTCGGCCCCGCCTCAGCCTCGCCTCTGACTCATGGGACACTGGCTGCCTTCTGTGCTTTGGTCCCCTGTCTCCTACCAAGGGCAAGGCCTCTACTTAGTAAAGTCTCACCCATTCAGAAAGGCTCATTATGCTTGGCCCATGCCTGGTTCCGCAGAACACCTGTGTTCCCTCTCTCTTCCTGGTCCCTTTGTTCTCTCCCGCCCTTCTCTCTCCTTTCCTTTCGCCCTGTCTGCTTCACTCAGCTTCATGTGTGTTTGCACAGGCTCCCTCGTGGTGGGTGTCGTGCAGGTGCTGTGCGGAGCCACAGTCATCGGCCACATGTATGTCCCTACAGAGGGGACCCACAACCTCTGTCTTTCCCTCCCTTTGCCCAAAATGTGTGGTTTCTATAAGTTCATCAAACCCACAAGGAGGACGTCAGAGGGCATTTCCAGCTTCATTTCATGTCTAACTTTCATTCTGCCTCTTCGTTTATGCTTAATTGAGAATCTGGTACATGGGACACGTTTTTACAACAATCTTTTGAAAAAATGAGTGATGGAGTGCATGAATGAATGAATGGCAATAGCAGCTGACAGTCTTGTGCACTGACGGTGCGCCACCGTTTCAGACGCCTCTGTGGAGAAGCCTCTTTCTGTCCTGGCATCCACAGGGCCGCTTGTCAGACCCCACCAGGTGTCCAGAAGCTGACCACGTTGCTTCCCAGACCCAATCCTCAGGGACCCCAAGACCACCACTGGGATCCCAGCTTCCATTCCCCTGCAGGACCAGAGACTTGGGTTCTGCTTGGATTGCAAAACATACACACATACACACATACTCATATACACACAGATACACAAACACACACACACAAACATACTCCCCCCACATACATACACAAACACATACATATACACTCATACACACACACACACAGACTCATACACACACGGACACACACACATACACACTTATACACATACACAGTACACACTCATACATACATAAACATACTCATACACATACATACACACATAGACAAACACACATATACAGTCATACACGCACACACAGACAGACATGCACACACACACATACATATACATAAAACAAACTCTAGCACTTTGGCCCTGTGCCACTGCAAAGTCCAATCTTTGCGTAAATCTAGTAAGCCGGACTGAGCCACACCGTGAACAAGCCCCCCACTCCTCAGGCCCAGGGCGTTAAAGGACCAGAGTGACTTCCACGCAGTGTGAGGTCTTCTCAAGACATCAGTCTTCAGAGAAGGCCTGGGAAGGGGAGGAAGGAGCGGTCTATGTTCTGGAGCCCACAGCTAATCAGCCAGAGGGTCTTCAATCAGAGATAATTTGGGGACAAAGAGATTAGGCCCATTTGAACTCAGATAAAATTCCGTTCCTGAGTCTCTGTCCCACACTCTCAAGGCAGCTGCAAGGCTGTCTCAGCGCCCTGCAGAGTTATACTTTAACCAGCCCCTCAGATAAGAGCTGTGATATTACTTATGAACGTCTGAATCTAAACAGAGGCGCAGGAAGTCATATCAGCGTGAGGTTCAGTGCAGCCTCCTGGGAAACTCATTTCCTGATTCTTCTCTGAGATCCTCACTTTAACTGAATTTAATGTGTTTATTTTTGTTAATGACTACAGGAAAGCTGGAATGAATTTTGAGGTTAAAAGGGAATTTGAAGAGCCAACCTGCAACTTTTACTTGCAAAAGGGCACAGGGACATGCTTCGCGCGTGTGTCGCCGACTCTCCTGCACAGCACTTCACAGAACAAGAAAGGGCGGGGTGGGCTGGCTGTTGCCAGGCCTGCAGCACCCTGTGATTCTTGGGAGGGGTTCAGAGAGACAGGCTGGAACAGGACCCATCTCTGCTCTGTTTCATAAACCACCGTGCGGAAGGGCCGGTGAGCACTGACTTAGTACAGAAGTGACAGGGAGGAGGATGTAGAGGGAGGCAGCTGGTTTTGGAGGAGTGAAGTCAGTGGTGTGGCTTACCACCACGGAGCCCTCGTCCTGGGAAGAGGCAGAAAAGTGTCAGCATTTCCTATTCCCAGGTGGGGATGGCGTGGTGCCAGTACCCTGCTGTGTAGGGAGGGAAGGGCCCTGGGGTCCGTCTTGGGAGCTGGACTCTGAGCTGTGGCATCCATGCAGGCCAAGAGGGTGGGCTGGAGAGCCTGGCGCTGCGTGTACTTCCTGATTTTGCTGCTTACTAGCTCGAGACCTTGGCAAGAGATGTAAGCACCCCAGGCTCCAGTTTCCCCATGCGTAGAAGGCGCTAATCAGAGGGTGGAATGAATTAATCCACACAGAGCACTTGGTTGGTGCCAATGGAGAGTCCTACGTAGGTGTCAGGGACCGTCAGCGCCCCTTCCTGAGTGTCGGATCCATCCCCACTGTGCCATTCCTTTTGCAGTGGCCTTGTCTTTGGCCACCACCTTGTCTTGCCTGGACTACTGCAGCATTCCCCAAAACATCTGCTGGAAAATACATTCCCGCACGGTGCTCTGGCTTTTGTGATGAGGCTCCATCTCTCTGGCCTGGGGAGGTCCACCCCTCCTCTGCCATGCCCGGCTTGGAGCGCCTTCACCCAGTGCTGGGGTCCCAAGACAGGGCAAGCCCTGTCCTACTGCTTGGCCTGCAGGACTCTGGCCTCTTGAGGGCAAGGGGCTGCCTGGCGTATGCACCACTGTCCTCCAGAGACAGGCAGGGTGCTTGTGGCCGCTGAGCCGTCCTCCCGGAGCCTGGCACGTGGCCTTCCGGACAGCTAGCCCTCCGCCCAAGCCCCACTGCTTTGACCTCTGACCTGCTTCATTACCCCCTGCACCGTCAGCTCCATATTCATTGGCAAATTTTGGGAGATAAGAAATTTTGTCTTACTTACATTACTTTCACCTGAGCTTAACACTGGCAGATAAATGCTCAAGAAATAACTAAGTAAAATGTCTAAAGGCTGATGAATATGCTTCAATAACACCACAATTCTGGCTCTGTAGTGATCATTCAGGTTGAATAATTACGTTTAGCTGCAATCCTTTGTAGAATTTGCTAGAATAAATAAAAATAATCCAAACACTGAGATAGCTGGTAACTGGATCAGTTGTCTGCTCTCTGGCCTACCCACCGTCTCACTGCCTCGGTGGTTGCTGAGGTGCTTGCAGAGCCGCTGAATCACTACCCTGGGCCATGCCTCGAACTCTGCCGCTCGGATCCTAATCTGCAGATGGCAGAGCCGTGGGGGGGGGCTGCCCTGGGCAGTGAGGCTAGAGCCCACTGAGACCTGGCAGGAGGTTGGACATCAGACGTGGCACAGAAGAAGCCAGATCTGGTTTCCAGGACAGCCTCTTTGGACTAAGGGACAGTGGCTTCCTCAGTTCTTCATCCAGCATGACTGCCATTCTCTCACACCCCTACTCATCCATTGTGACGTCACTTCATGATTCATCAACCTGGATTTCCCAGCATGGCCCCGGCTCCAGCAGAGTGGAATCACCTCCCTTCCCCATGTGCGCACTTTGCCGGCCCGGCCGGTCTTCACCCCGCCCCTTCTAGCAGCGCACATGCGCCGGCAGTTCTCAGCAAGGTGAGCAACGGAAGCACCCGGTGCCTTTGCAAGGCAACTCGGACCGAACCAAGTATCCTAAGTACTTGAAAAAGGGATCCTTTGAATTTTTTTATGTTTATCCTTATTAAATTTTATCTCATAGATTGAACTAACTTTAGTGACGTTGTTTGTAGTCAGAGAATGACACACACGAATCAGTTTCTGAGAGCCCCTCCCACTGTCGCTGTGGTTCACCAGGCCTAGGCTCCACATTGACACTGTTTGCTGCACTGCAGAACCAGACCAGTTCTCTCAGCCAGTGCTGTCAGACCTGGGTTAGGTGACAGGGAAGCTCTGTTGTCCAAACAGTTCAGGAAAATGTTAGAGGAATCGCAGTCTAAACAGCAGGGCTTTGTTCTGGGAGGCTCTTGTGGGAGGAGGGTGCAGCGGGGTTTCCAAACTGCGTTGGTGAGAGGATCTTTTAGATCAGAACACTGCAAGATGTTATTATGCTATTTGATATATTTTGGAATGGACTAGCTGGCTTATGCACCCAGAAAGAGTAGATATACTTTCTTAAGCAACTAACGTAAATTCCCACAAGTGAAAGCTACCCTTGGGCTCACGCGCCTTCCTGGTCGGGGAGCAGTTATGTCTCCTGACACCTAGCTTCCTGTCTGGAGGACGGAACACTTTTTCACCAGAGAGGGCAAGGGGTGACTCCATTATGGTCTACGGCCCCATGCTGCATTTCTTCCCAGACAGCCTTGTTTTTTTAATTTTTTTTCCTTTTGCCCAGTTGATATAATTTTATTTACCCTCTCTTAGCAGTTAAGGCAGGACAATGAACTTGCACGACAGCAGCCAGCTCTCCCATCAGTACTTAGAAGCCTCCTCAAGATAGTCCCTGTCTTTATGAATCAACACTGGACATTTATAAGTCAATAAATCCCACTTTGAGAATGCCAGAAGTTTAGTGTTTTGTCAGCCACTAAATGTTCTGGGTAGTTTCACTTCAAACTTTTAAAAAGAAAATTGTTTAACACCCAGATAAAGTATAAGTAACAAGAATAAATTTCTCTCTTTACAATCTGGGAAACCATCATTTTCTTTTCTTTCCAGGGACAGACACCCCATCACCACAGCCATTCAGATACAGTGGAATAAGCTTCTCTCGTGAACTAAAGAGCAAATCTAGCAGAGACAGAGTTCAATGCCGGCAACATGAAAGGACTTCAAAATGAAGCTAAACAAAGTGCAATAAGCACACAGCGTAAATCACAGGTTGAAGCTGTGTGTAAATATTATACAGAAGACTATCTTGGAAACTTTCAGGCCCTGAAAAACTCAAACTCACGAATTCAGGTAACTCATGCTTAAAAAGGCCCACAGTAAGCTGAATTCTGCTCTGCGGCAGACATTGCTATATTAAGGTCTTTTGTTTTTCTCCATCATGCTTGTAAAAGGCTGATTTTAGGGGTCAAATAAACTTGTATTTATGTAGTGACTAGCATCAGGTAGACCTGAGCGTGAGATTCAGAGGGAGAGGGGGAGGGGAAGGCCCGGGCGGGAGGGCTCATGCCAGGGGAGGTGGGAGCAGGAGATGCTGCTCTAAGGAACGAAAGTCGACGCAGATCCAGACGAAGGCCATGTTTCGGGTTCGAGCTCAGTCACACTCCGACCTTGTTTAGCCAAAGTGGAAAGACAAGGAGGAGAGGGCCATTTAGGAGCACCAGGCGTGCACCGGGGCCGTGTCTGCGAGGCCCATGTCGGCACCCAGAGCAACACGTCGCAGCCCAAGAGACAGGCGCAGACAGACGTGCAGTCTGCCGGAGCTCGAACGGCCATGAGCGCAGCGCCACGCCGTGCCTCTGCTGGGATGGTGAGCCTCGCTCTGTGTGGGACAGAATCTGCCAGACGATGTGCCCTTAAGGGGCAAGGAACCCATCAGCGTTCACACTGCTGGTGTGAAGATGGCCACCCTCCATCACAGGGACAGTCACCTTCCTGGAGCAGAACAACCAGGAGATAATTAAGCAAGAGCTGCAGCCTTGCTCACATCCCCCAGCAAACACAAGCAAACCACACACAGATCAGATCTTCCCAGGGAACAATGCGTGCTAAACCGAAATTAAACAAAGTAGAGAGATCACCTGGGAGGGAAGGGCAATTTGTTGGATTTTCTGCCTTAGACATCCAGGAAGAAAGCTAAGGACGAATTCTGGGTTCAGGAGCCAGGACATGAGCAGACCTTCAGAAATAATCCTAAATCCACTAAAATCTCCCCTGGGCTAACCTCCTGCCTCAGCTCAGTCACTGCAGTGGGCTGAATACTGTCTCCAAATGTCACATCAGATTGTGACCTGATTTGGAAAAGGGTTTTGCAAATCTCTTTAGTTAAAAATCTTGAGATAAAATCCTCCTGGTTTTACGTGGGCCCTAAATGCACTCACAGGGATCTTTATACATACATATGTGTGTATGTGTGTATTTATGGAGTACAGCATGACGTTTTGATCTGTGTATACATTCATTGTGCAATGATTCAGTCAAGACAAATTACATGCTTCACCTCATGTACTCATTTAAAACATTTAAAATCAAGACTCTTAGCAATTTTCAAGTCTGGTGTCTTTCTAAGAGAAAGGAGAAGAGTATGTGGACACACCGACAGGGAGGAAGGATGTGAGGACAGACGCAGAGGCTGGAGTGATGTGGCCACGAGCCACGGGGTGCCGGGCGCCAGAGCTGGGGAGGCAGCTCTGCCTCCAGGGCCGCCCGGAGCACAGTCTCCCGGCGCCCGGTTCTGGCTGCCTGGCCTCCAGAACTGTGAGAGGGTAAATCTCTGCTGTGTTTAGCCACCAAATTGGTGGCCATTTGTTGTGGCAGTCCTAGGAAACTGACACGGCCACACAGAGGAACAGCAAACACCCCCCACACAGAAGGGAACCTCAGTGTCTGCGGCGCCCGGCCCTCTTCCAGGACCACTTTCTAATAATGGTGACGCAACTCCTCTGTTCTGGGCTCCTCTGGACCGGGCTACCACTGTGGGATGGCGAGAACACTGGCGAGCTGTGGTGGCCAGAGACCACCCCACCCCTGGGCCGCTGGGAGCCTGGGCGGCTGCTGACGAGACATGGGCACCAGGCGTGCTGGGTCCATGCGGTGCAGGCTGCCGGCTGCCCCTCATGCTGGGAGGAGCGCCCTGCCCTCCCACATGGCCCAGACCACCTCACAGGAGGGGCCTGCCTGCGCCAGCCGCTTCCCGGGAGGGCCTGCGGCGCCGTGGGGTCAGGCAGCGCCAGGGAAGGCGTGCCCAGAGGCGTCTCTGCCTGTCTTCAGAGGTGCCTTCTACCCGGCCTGGAGTCGGGGGGCAAGGCCAGTGCACCCTCACAGGTGACTCGGCAGGACTGACTGCTACCGCTGACCTGGGGAGATGTGAGCAACCAGGAGCTGCCCAGGCCTGGCGGCCCCACTGCTGCCTGCCTCGCTGGCCCCGGGCACTTCCCTCGGCAGCCTGCCGCGGTCTCCTGCGGGTGCGGGGTGGCATTTGCTCAGACAGGGCCTGCCTGCAGATGCTTTGATTCAGCCGAGTGAAACATGCACCCATTGTCAGAAGAAAACTAAGACTTAGCAAGTGGGTGCAAATAACTGACTCAGGGCTGGGATTGAGATGGGAGAGGTTTGAGATGATAGTCCAAGTCCTTTTAGGGACCTGACTCATTGCTCTGAGCTGGTTCTGAGCACATAGGTGGGGCCACCTGGCTACTGTCTGCTCTCCCAGCCCCTCCCTGGCTCTGGAGCCAGCCCGTGTGCAAGGGACATTTAATGAGTCCCAGCCAAGCAGCACCCTTTCCCTCTGTCAGCCTCCTCTCACCTGCTCACCAGCCCTCCTCCCTGTGCAGCTGCCCTGCCCACGGGCCACTGTCACCTGAGTCCTTCTGGCCTCAGCCTGGTTTGGCTGCCCTGTTAGCATGCCCTGGCGGGGGAAAGCCACACTCCTCTCCTGCTACAAGTCACCATAGTATTCACCAAAAAGAACTCCAGAGAAATGAGAACATGGACCTCAAACCATGCTGAGTGCTCAATAAAGAGAAAATTGTTCGAATGCAGCTCACTAATCAGATCTTCAACATGTAAGTGGGACAAGCACTGAGCTGGCACACAAGATGATCAATTCAATTTTCTCCATGATGCAAACAAGCTCGTGCTTCATGTGTGCACACACATCCATCCTCTTTGCACTCTCAGCTAGCACAGAAGGGAGGAGGTAGCAGTTATCTGGTCTCCTTACTTTTCCCCTTGCTGCTCCTTTGGGTGCTCCCACTAAGGACCGCATCACTGGTGGCAGGCGGGGGACGGGGCAACCCAGGCCACCGCACTTACTGTTCCCAGCCAGCCCCTGCCCCACGCGCCCTGTTTACCTTTGCGATCTGCACACACCAGTTGAGCAGGCACTGGGAGCCGATGTTGTCCTTGTGCTCACGGATGTAGTCCAGCAGGCAGCCGAAGGGCATGAGCTGTGTGATGAGCTGCACGGTGGAGGTCAGGCAGATGCCCAGCAGGCGGCACACGTGGGGGTTGTCCACGCTGGCCATCACGTAGGCCTCCTGTGCAAGAGGGAGGGGTGTCAGAGAGGCCCACACACAGACCCACACCAGACAAAATGGAAGGGACAGGATTTGGAGTTTGAACACAAGACTAGTGGAGGAAAAGCTGGCCCACGAAACTCCTGGTGAAAGGGACCTTTATATAGGGCTGTGAATCCTGGGTGACAAGTAGACTAGGCAGCGCTTGCCATGGGCAAAACATTGGGTGAGAGGGACCTGAGTGACCCTGATGTCTCTGAGTTTGGGAACTGGTGGTGTCATCATTAGGAAGACCTCTGCCTCAGGTTCAAGATGCTATGGTTTAAAACGTTGTCAGAAATTCACGTTTGGGGCCCCCGGAACACCCTGGACAATGACCTGCCTCTTTAGAGCACAATGGTGAGAGCATCCAGGGACGTCTCCAAGGAGCCAGTCCCTGGAGAGGACTTCCCTTCTGCACAGAGCAGACCTGGCACTGACTGTGCCATGGGTGACAGGGAGGGCATTTATGGGGGGCACCTCTGCACGGAGCAGCGGGAGGAGCTCTTTCAATGCCAGCTCAGGCTCTGCAAGGAACAGAGAGAGCTGAACCCACAGCGACTGCAAACGGCACTGGCTGCCCGTGACCTGTCTCCAAGGGAGGGTCATTCTGTGTCCCTGCACCTCCCGCCCCCAGTCTCCTGATGGGACACGCACTGCTCTGCGTCATGCACCCTCACCCGCTCGTTCAGGCTGGCTGCCAAGGCAGGAGCTTTTGCTTGACAGATCCATAAATACAGACTTTAACCCTTCTGCTATTCTTGGACTGAGGGAGCTAAATATATTTGCAATCATGCACACAATGGGGGCCTCTCTCTTCTGCCTGACTGAGCATTAGGGAGCCCTCAATTTCCACCCATAAATTCTCTTTTCTTGAAAAATACAAATGGTGGTGACCTTTTATTCAGATGTGAAAAAGACCACAGGGACTGCAAGAGAATGAGTTCAGAAGGCTCCTTTTACATCTCAGCGATGCCTGGGTTTTGGGTTTTTTGTTGTTGTCGCTTCAGACAGTCTCATTCTGTTGCCCTGGCTAGAGTACAGTGGTATCATCACAGCTCACTGCAACCTGAAACTCCTGGGTTTAGGTGATCCTCCTGCCTCAACCTCCCATATAGCTGGGACTACAGATGCACACCACCCCACCTGGCTATTTTTTTCTATTTTTTAGTAGAGATGGGGCTCGCTTTTGCTCAGGCTTATCTTGAATCCTTGACCTCAAGCAATCCTTCTGCCTCGGCCTCCCAGAGTGCTAGGATTACAGGCGTGAGCCACTGCACGCAGCCTAAGTCTGTTTTGAGTGTGGACTTGGGCAAGTTAGTTTCTCTTTGCAGAAGTAAGCATGCCCTGGGTCAGGCACTCACTTGCGCAGGCAGGGTGGCCGGGCAGCAAGGCTGGAGATAGAAGACAGAGGAAGTGGGGGAAGATACACACAGTCATCCCTAGGTATCTGTGTGGACTGGTTCCAGGATCCTCTTCGGATACTGAAGTCTACAGATGCTCAAGTCCCTGATACGTTCTGAAATGGCATAGTTTCCATACACTCTAAGCATACCCCATACACATTAAGTCATCTCTAGATTACCTATAATCCCTAACACAACACAAATGCCATGTAATCATTGTTCTACTGTATTGTTTAGGGAAAAATGGCAAGGAAAAAGAAGTCTATACATGCTCAGTAAGGACGTAAAATTTTTTTCCAGATATTTTGGTTAATTGACTCCATGATGTGGAACCACAGATATGGAGGCCTACCTTAAACGTTTCTTAAAACTCAAACATGCTCACACTACTTTCCTTGACTTAAAGCCAGTCCTGCCGGCAAGGCTGCCCCTCCTCTCTGGCCTCTGGTCCTCCTGCTCTGCTCCCTCGCTGCGTCCTGCTCCCTGTCTGCCTGTGGCCCAACAGCCTTGCTCCTCTTCCCCGGCTGCCTCCTCGGGGGAACCCTCGAGCCCACGGCCTGCCTGCCGCCAGGCCTGGGGCTGAGATGCAGGAGGACTCAGCCAGGGCCGCAGCAAACCCTCTGGGTGCTGACGCTTGGTGAAGCTGCAGAGCCCCTGCCTTGGGGCACTCATCAACCTGTACTTAAATATTTGTGTGATTTAAAAAACGTCCGCCTCCACCAAGCTCTCTGAGGCAAGGACTGCATTCTCAGCCCTCAGCACATCCCAGGGCACCGCTGGCTCTGCAGCCCTGCATCCCACTGGCAAACGCTCCGGGTAGCCGCAACTCTCCCCCCCCACACGCGTGGGCGTCACCTGGGTGGGCGTGGTGAGCTCTGAGGGTGCTATCATTCCAGCACAGACCTAAGCACATCACCGCCAGGGTTGAACTACACTGAAATCATGCAAAGTCAAAGATGCAAAGGAAATCAAAGTGCACACCACTTTCATTAAAAAACAAACAAAAAACTGTAGCTTTAAATGCTTGCTGCAGAGTGTTTAGGCTCTCTATTTTCAAGTAAAGTGCACATTTTTCCTTTTATGTTATAAATATAATATCACAACACCGAAGAGCACAGTAGATGTGTAATATTTGGAGGCTCGGCAGACATGGAAAGCATCCCTTCACCTCAGAAAAGTGCTTGTTTGTAAAAAGTCAGACCTGTACAGGGCCAGCAAGTATATTTTGTCTGAGGTCCTATTGTCAGGACAGGAAACCACGGGCCAGGCAGGTGAGTGGCCGACCTGAGGCCACATTTGTCAGTGCCAGGACGGGCCCCACATCGGCCCTCTAAGGCCTGGACTGGCCCCTCTCCCTCTGAGAGCCACCCGGGGGGCTGACGGCGCCAGGTTCCCCCAGGAAAGCAGCTCCCGGGGCGCCGTGCGCGCGGCCACCGGGCTGCCTGGGCGCTGCAGTGGCGAGAGAACGCGCAGCGTGATCTGGTTCGAGTTCCTTTTCGTTGCCCGTCCTACACTTAAACTGAATGTCTATGGAAAAATTAACAGCCATGTGATTTCCAGAAAAACACAAATCATGTCTCTCCCCCGCACCTGGGAAGCTGTACAACCATAACACCAAAGAAACCCTCTGGCTGTTCCTATTTTCCCAAGATCTGGTAGAGATCTGGATACATATTGTATTCATTTGAGAGGGAAGAAAAATCTGGGAACGGAGCAGCTAATGCAGCCCAGCTGCTGTGGGTCTGCAAAGAGCTGACCTAGAACCCGGACTGGGAAGGAGCAGGCTGTGGGTGTTGGGCCACACAGAGCCTGGAGCCCTGCCAGGCCGCCTCCTGCTAAAATCTGATAGACCCACTGGGTCATCGCCTCCTCCCACCCCAAGGCACGATGGACAATGCTGCCTCTTGTGTCTTGTTCTGTGTATGCAGAAGTTAAAGTGAGCTTTGTTCTTAGCTGTTTACCTTGGAAACCATAAAGGCACGTGGTGGCCTACAGCAGTGTGCGTGGTGTTCCACCACATCTAAGTCAGTCTGCACAGTGCGGGCGGCAGCCCCAGCCCGCACTCGAGCCCTCCCACCGAGGGTGGCCCTGAGGCTTTGGTGAGCTTGAAACCCTAGGGGATTTTGTCCCAACTGCAGCTGTGACTTGTGGTTCCTTCCTTCTCGCTTGTCTCCCTTACCTGTGAACTATTTCATGTTATGAATTGGGAAAGAGGATTGCACTAGATTTTAAACTCCTTAAGCAAAAGATGAAGCTTTGCTGGTGGGCCCGCCACTCACCTCCTGCTGTGCGGGGCCCGCAGCCCCCCACCCTCCGCCAAGTTTTGTGGAAGACAATTTTCCATGTGTGGGGGGGTGAAGGGTGAGGGGTGGACGGGTGGAGCTCTGCTGCCCAGTCCCTAACAGGCCACTAACTGGTACCTGTCCTCAGCCAGGGGCTGGGGACAAGTCTTAGAATATTCTAAACCATCTGCACTCTGCATGTAAAAATATTGTTGAAATTCACATTTCAACATTGTTTTGTGTAATTTATTAGAATGTCTTGAATTAGCAAAAAATGAATTAAGGAGGCAAATTCTGCACAATGGTTTTCTTTATAACAGTACAGGTGAGGGGGCTCAAGGTTGTAAGCAAAAAGGCTTCATGAATCATTTGCCTCCCTGTATTTCTTGTGCTTATTAGCAGGACTTGATGTTGACTTATAAACCATCAACATATGGGCGAAATTCTGCCTGATGAGCATATTGTCAGCATGAGAAATTTTCTGGGCACTGTATTAACACACTGCCTTTCATTTACAAGTGCACCAATACAGGGTCTCCCTCTATGATAACGGGGGAAAGCTGCCATAGAAAATTAAACTGCAGAGTGTTTTGCTGCTGAAAAATTCATGGTGTCTACACACAGTTTTTAGAAGGCTCATGTTTTTTATTTATTTTTTTAAATCTGGCTTTTGTCTTTCTTGGCTGTAAGATCAACTAAATTCTCCAAGTTTTTGAGGCAATAAACGCAGCAATTTCCCTTTTGTTGGTCCAGTTTCCCCAGCCCACTGTGGGCCCACCTCCCCCCTCACGTGCCCCGTCCCCGCAGGAGGCAGAGAGCAAGTGTTTCTGCAACGCACAGCGAGCCCGGCCAGGGCTGCAGGGGCCGCTGCCAGGTCCCAGCCAGCCTCTTCCTAGAGGGTGCACCCACCCAGCCAGGCCATCCAGAGAAGGCAGACAAGTGCAACAGAATTGAGAGTGACAACATAATAGTCACCTTATGGGATATTCCCAGGACTTATTCCATAATGCAGCAATCGGCAGACACTGGAGAAATCACACTTGAATTATTTGGGGCAAAAGTAAAGAAGTTTACTTTCTTTACAATAATGATGTCCACTGTATACAAAACAGGTTGTTTACACAGTACACATCATTATCCGAGCACCTTTAAACAAAGCCATTTCAAAGATGAGACAACTTGGCAGAGGAAATCCCATGTGAGCTTCGGGGTCAGAAATAACGATGGGCTTGACCCGCACCCCAGCCATGGGAGCTCAGCAGGTGTCTTTATCCCTCCTTTGCTTCACCCAAAAAACACCAAACGCTGTACCTGCGCTACAGGCCCGCCACAAGCACCGGCCGGGACAGGTGGGTGAAGAGGCAGTGCCAGCACTGCCACGGCAGGTGCCAGCAACTGTGAGTTTCTGCCCTTTGGGGACAGATAGTGGAATAGAAGAGGTGAGTCTGATCTGGAAGAGGAGGGAATTATACCGAGTGTGGCCTGAGGACAAAGACACAGCAAGCGACACTGAGAACATGGGCTGAACGTGTCTGGAAGAGAGTGCCGTGCGGCCAGGCACAGGAGAGGCGCTGCGGGTGCCCAGGGCCACGGCCAGCTACAGAACAAAGCAGACTCACATCGAGAATTTCTTTGTTGGCTTTCGGGGATGTTGCTTCTCTCAATTCCTTGATGGCCACAGGGATTTTAACTTTCTCACCTTCTGGGATCCAGAGGCCCTGTGACAGAGAGAGGGAAGATGCTAACTGGACTCGGGGCTGCACCTCTGCATCCCAAGCCAACTGTAAACGGTCGTGACGTCTCGGCAGCTCTTTGGCTAGCAGGCTCCACAAATCAGAGTAATCATTTAGATTAAAAAAATCTAACCTTGTGCCAATTATAAAATCAGGGTGGATCATTTCATCTAGGATTGCAGGCCTGAGATCAGACTTTATGCAAAGAAAACAAATTAAGAGGAGCCTGTTTGGACCAGGGCTTTATTCTGATGCTGTTGCACGGTGACAGACAGTACACACAGTGACAGAGCCCTCCTGCTGCCTTCATCTGTCCTGTCCCCTGCCCTGGGTCACACTTCCTCTACAAGGTCAGTGACATCCTCCTAAAAATGCCTATGGTCTGTGTGTAGGTCCCACGGGGTCACTGCCTTGTCACCATGCTATAAAAGATTTCCTCTCTCACTTGGGAAAAATGTTGGAATTTCCCAAACCCTCAGCAAAACAAAGAGCAGATGATGATGAAAACGCATCCCCAGGACTCACCTTGTACACGGTGCCAAATGCACCAGAGCCCAGAACCTTGATCTTCCTGAACTCGGTTTCCTTTAAGATCCTCAAGAGAGCCTGGTTGGGGGCTTCTCCGCTGGGTGTGAGAGGCTCGACGAGCTGTGGGCGACAGGGAGGCAGAGCAGACAGCGGCTCAGGCCCAGCACGTGGGGCCGCGGGGGCAGCCGCAGACCCGGCCACTCTCTGTGCCTGTCCCTAAGGACGAGCGTACACCTTCCCTAAAGAACTTCACAAAAGACAGCAGAAACTGAGGCTTCCTGACACAGCTGCTCTTTAAAGAGCAGCTACATTTGAACAAATTCAATTTCTATTTCTGTTTCCATGCCAACTAGCTGGATTGAAACACTCTGCTGAGGACAGCTTTCTGCGGAGACCGTTCTGGTGTCCGCGGGGCGGCTGCACGCAGCCTCTACGGCACAGGTGCTGGCCCTTCTCCCGCACAGCGCTGGGCTCGCCGGCGAAGGCAGCCCCCGCAGACAGAGCTCACAGGAACAGCCATTGTGTGGACGGCGGACCTTTCCAAAGCAGCGCCTTCTGTCTCTGCCGCAGCGCCTTCACAGGGACGGGCAGCCCTCCCCTCCTGCACGCAGGGCTGCGGCGCTCAGGCCCGCACGGCTCCGTAAGCGCTCCGTGGGACTTGGCCCAGAAACATTTCCCTTTCACTGGATGCAGGTACCAAAATGTAACTAGTTGGGTGTAATCAGACACTCAGAGAATTTCTGGTTTTTCCATCATGACAAATAATGCATACTGTCGCGATTATTTATCTCAAATACACAACTGCAAATGGCAAGTGCTCCAAGGACGGCCTTGCTCCATCTGGCAGCGAGGGCCTGAGGGCGCTGCCGCGGCACGGGCGCTCACCTCTCTCTCCTGCAGCAGCCTGCGCAGCGTGCGCTTCCGGGCGATGTGGCGCCTCCGCACGAACAGGCCGACCCCGAGGGCCACCACCACCACGAAGAGGAGGCCGCCAACGATCCCAGTGGCAATGGACGGGATCCTGGTCCTGGAGTGAGGCGGACAGACAAGGAGGGTGAGCTTTGTGGACAGACCCCACAACATGAGTAGTTTGCACATTTCCAACATGTGTGGGCACACGGACACCAGGTAAAACTCTCCCAGGAAGCGGGATACCGTGTAGCTTCTACAGGGAGAGAAGAAAGCTCAGTGTGACTTCTAGGGCCAAGTTTCCAACTTTCTAAGCTCCCTGGTCAACGCCACCCCCAACCACCTATTCTGCATGTTTAACCCTTTGCACTCGGATGTCGAGTGTGGATAATGTCGAGTGGATGATGAGAAAAAAGCAAGCGAGTGCAAAGAGTTAAAACTGAGGTTTCATTGGATCTTTCTATATGATAATTATTTTTCAATCTGTTGATTAAGAAAATACATAATTCAAAAAATAATCCTGACTTCAATGATTTTTTTATATGGATTTGTATTGTGTTCATTCCAAGAGCGTTTCCATACAATCGAAGAACAGCGGTCTGTGCGCGTGAGCCAGGCAGGCTCCCCAGCAGGCTGGGAAGGGGCCTTTCTGTGATGCTGAGACACCTCGAGGGGCCCCTGGTTTTCAAGGTGGGACCCACAGCTGTGTGAGGCGCTCTGAGAGGAGGCGCTTGAAGGAGGTTATAAAGTGATGGTACTTAGGCATGAAAAGCACTGTCACAGCGAGCGAAGTCAGCAGGCAGCCTCAGACCACTGGGTACATCCCTCCTCCTCCCACGGAGGTCGTGTCAAATTTCAGAGAGAGGAAAAACTCAGAAGTCAGGCTTTCAAGCTCACGGGGGAAAGGACCATCTGAATTCATAATTCTGAATCTGGAGTCCTGAGAAAGTTATTATTCTTAAGTATCTATCCCATTTGAGCTGCTGGCAGATGGATTTGTATTTTCTGGTAGAAATGTCAATGAGTATCAGAGATGAACTGGCAGCATCATTTGCACATAAAATAGGTGCCAAAGTCCTTACCAACTTCTCTTGAGTGGGCCAAATTATTTCATGAAAATGATAGTTTACAATAGTTTCTTTTTAGGGAGTGCAAAAGTCATCTGCGTTATATAAAATCTCCAATTAATGCAGTTTGAATAGATGAGTTTTTACTATTTTAAGGGACTGTTGGAAGATAAAATGAATAATCTGTTACAGAGAATGTGTTTTTATAGAGTGCCACAGTAGTGAGGTGAATGAGAAGAGAAGAAAAATTAAGAAGAGTAAAGATAATAAGGAATGGTCACTGGCTAGTGTCAAGGTGGGGATGTGAACCCTCGTTACTAAGACTTCCCAGGCTGTGGCACGAAGACAAGAAAGGTTTTGCTAGGCGTCGCTGAAGAGATGGAGCTGGCAGGAGATCTCTCTCTGAGAGACTGCCTTCGTTCTCCTCAATGTTTCACCTGGTGGCAGGAGGGACTTGCCACCATGCCAGCGCTGGGCAGGACAGCGCCCTGAAGCTGAGGAACTGGGTGGGGCTGTGTCATTCCTGGTTTCCGGCCAGACGCTGCCCACTGGCAGCGCCCCTCTTTCCCGTGAGGCTCAGCAGGGTCCACAGCGGCACTTCTCTCAGGCCGCGTCTCAAGCGAGAGAAGCCACCTGTGTGGCTGGGCAATGCGCTGGGAAAAGGCAGTAAGGACAGATGATGCCCCACGCTGGACCTTTGTCATCAAACAGAAAGGCCACCCCAACACAGGCCTGTGAGGAGACCAACTGGGCCAGTGGGGAAAAAGGAGAGGAGCTAGAAGAGAAGGACTCAGCCACATGGGAGTGACCAAAGAGGTCAGGGACAGGCTACCGAGGAGGAGAAGCAGTGGGGCCTGGAGCCCCAGTGCCACACCCCCATGCCCTCCACCGGGAGCACGCTGGCAGGAGGAGGTGGAACCGCGGGGCAGGGTCTGCCAGGGGCCCTGGGCTGGGCCTGGGCTGGCCCAGAGATGTAAAGCTTGACCAGGGCAGAAGGTAGTCATAAGTGCACAAAGGCAGTGTCTTTGCCCACAGCTCTCTCCGTCATTTTTGATGGAGTCCGTGGGACTCAGAGCTGTATATACTTACCCGCGGTCACATCCTTGAAGACCTGGCCCAGCACATCTGTAGGAATTGAGAAAGAAAGACTCATTTTTCTCATTCTACTTCTTTGGCATTTTTTCTTGGGACTTTTTTTTGTTTGTTTTTTTTTTTGCAATCACACAAGAGGAGGTTTATTTTCTGGCTAGCCAGGGTCCAAGCCCCAGAGCACCAACGCAGTGGCCACTCTCGCAGGCAAGGACCCCGACGGGAACAACGGCATGCCTTTTATCCCCATGGTGCACAAGCTGCGCACAAGCTGACTACGCGTGGATCATGCGTTACCTTTAAAATGATTGGCTGCCCACTATTGCCTTTTGAAATAATTGGCAGGTTGGTTGCCCTCTATTGCCTGATGGGCCAGTCGCCCGTGCTTCAATGACCTCATCCCATAACTCCCCATACAGCGGTGTAGCAAGCAATGACCAGAAGCAAAAGTTTGGGGTTAGCTCATTGCCCCACCCAAGTAAATTCCCCACAATTGGAAGAATTCCTCTGCCCTTCCTCTGTCCTACAAATTTCTCTGCCCTACATTCCCCTCTTTCTCTAGGTAGCAGACGAGCACTCTTGCTCGTCCTCAAGGTCTCTTAGGTGCTCTAGTTCTATAGCACTTGATCGTAGCTGCTGATATTGTTGTTGCAATACTAGTAGCTGGACAGTGTTCATCCGTTCTTTCACAAAAGCTACTAGTCTATTAATTACACATGGCGCGAAAGTAAGGACTAAGATTAGCATAATGAGTGGGCTTAGTAGGGTGGATAGTAGCGTTGTTAACCAGGGGGAACTGTTAAACCAAGACTTAAACCAACCAAGGCAATGTGTGTTAAACTACTCTTAAATCATCAAAATCACCATGCATCTCAGTGTTGGGGTGGTGATTAGAAATTTATTTATTATTATTATTTGTTATTCATTTATTCATTCACTCAGCAAATATATCTGAGTGTCTGTGCTCAGGGTTAGAGCATAGACAGGAGTAGTTCTAGCATCGAACAAAGCAGCCAATTCATCAGTGAATGCCTTCTCATGCTGTTTCTGATGGGAGTAGCTGTCTCCAGCTGGCCGAGAGTGTCAGTGTGGACAGGGCTTAGAGGAAGCTGTGACTGGACACAGCCACTAGGCCACACTGACCACAGAGAGCTGGCAGTGTGGAGCAACTGCAGGTATGTGAATGTGAAAGAGGCCAGTCCTGAGGACAATGACCAGGTGGGCTGAGGGTGGGCAGGCAGGAAGGAACTCTCACACAGGCAGGGCCCCAGTAGGAGTGGAAGGAAGGACATGGACAGGAGACATGTGCAGGAGAGGCAGAAAGAAAGGGGAAGCACATGGGTGACAGCCAGTCTCAGTGGCAGGAGGTGGCTGTGACGATTCAGAGCCCAAAGGCCAGGTGCAGGAGCCATGTCCTCCCCCTCTGCTTAGTGGCCATGTCTACGGTTGGAAGACAGGGTCCACCCTCAGTGTGCCCCTGAGCAGCCAGCTCTTGTTCCAGTGGGACAGCCGCCACCTTTACTGCAATTACAGGATGATGGTTTAAACAGGCGGAATAAGCCAGCTAGAGACTCACATTTCACGGCCTAGCGAAAGATGCACAGCTACATTTCAATGTGTGAGGAAGACTGGGGGTCTGCTATGGCACTGTCGTCTGGTCCTAAACATCTTCCTTCTCTGAGCCCTGGGTCTCAGCAGGCGGCTCTGCTCTCTGCACTCTGCCCTCCTGGCGTGAGTGCCTGGGGTCTCCCTCTTCTCCCGGTGGCAGACAGCGCCAGGAACACACAGGGAGCCTTTTACTTCCCACTCTAGTCTCTCTGATGAACACTGAAGTAGTCCAGGACAAACACATTCACTAACGAAGGGACCATGGATAAAATGAGCTCCTAGGGCTGGCTGTCTCCCCCACCTGTGGAATATAACGCAATGGGAATGTAATATGTGAAGGTGTGCAGATTGAAATTGGAAAGTTTGGACAAGAGGCAGAGTTTTAAGCACTGCTAAGAGCTGCAGGGATCACTAACAAGAAGCTGTGACAAACAAGCTCGGAGCGAGAGGCGGGCAGTTTACACGGGGAGAGAGGCGGGCGAGGCAGACAGGATGGTGGCTCAGAGCAGCGGGAGGCCCTGGAAAGCAGAGGAAAGGCTCTCCCAGTGCAGAGGAAAGGCCCTTCCTTGCATGCTTTTGCAGAAACGGCGGCTGGATATGAAACCAAAGAGGTCATTTCATGTTATTTCATTCTGTCAGGAAAATTATTCTCTGCTCCCAACTCAATGTATTCTTTTTTATAAGGAATTTACACATAATTGCAATTACAGTAGAAACTAAATTTTGTTACCTATTAATGAGAACAGGCAAATTTTTATACTATTTAGTTTAACTTATCTGGATAAAAATTTCAAAGAAACTTTCCCCTCATCATTTACTATGAAACTGTGGTTGCATTTAAAAAGGGACATGCCTTTTGTGTCCCGCTCTTTTCCTGGCGCCACACCTGCAGGGTGGGAGGTGTGGCTTCTAGGATTGGCAGGTACCTGTGCTGTGGTCTGGATTCTGACAACTCCAGATCATGGGTCATGATGGTTACTGAACCTGTTTACGTGTCTCTTTAACAATAAAAATGGGAAATATATTTTGTCCGAAAACGAGAGAGGCAATGTATTCCATAATGTTGTGCACAGCATAAATACACAGTAAAAGTTCTTATTTTCCCTTATTCTCAACATTTCTCCATATTTTAAAAATTAAATATTTTTAAATTAAATATTTAAAAATATGTAAAATTAATATTAAATATTTAAAATTAATATTTAAAAATATTTAAAAATTAAATATTTCTCCATATTTTAAAAATTAAAAATTAAATTTTATTTTAAAATTAAAGTTAATGGCTTTGAGAGAAGATACAGGTAGCAATAACAAGAGTATATAAAACTATATGCTCTTCTTCCAAAAAAGGCTCAGAACCAGGAAGCTAATCATATATACGAAAGAAAATATTGATAAAATTCTATATGTCAAATGCATAGCACCAAGATTTTTTTGAAACAAAGAGACCAAAATTGTAGAAGAAAATGCAATTTTAGTGGGAGACTTAAGTTAGACAGTGGATATTTATTATTATTACCTGGGAAAAAATAGATATCGTAACAAATAGCTACTGTCATTGTGAGTAAATTCTCTCTTTCTATATTTGGCAATCTGTTTCTTATAGAAGGTAAATGTATTGAAATTTCCACTGCCCAGAGACTTTCTGGACCCCTCTAAGTCCAAAGACATATGCTCAAGACACAGATATATATATACACATTTATTTCCCTCTGTACAGATAATAGAATTCTGTTTTAGAGAATCTGCTCCAAAACTGCTTATAAAAAATAGATTGAGTGAAAAGCTAGCCAAGCACAATTTATACCACACTTCATTGAGCTTACAAATTGGCTAACACAACCTACACGCTGATATAACAGAGGGGAAAAAATCTTGAATTGCTACCAAAGAAGTATTTGGTAAAATTCAAAATCCATTCCAAATTTTCAAAAATGGTTAAGAACTATTTTAAAAAATAGATGAGTAATTCCTCAACAAGAGAATCCATATTTCAAAACTAACAGCAAATATTGTGGCTAATATTGAGACATTACAGTCATTCCCACCACCATCAGACGCAAAACTCTGACATCCATGCCATCGGTCTGATGTTATTCTGGAAACAATAATATTGTTCTGGCCCTTATAACATAATCTGATACTTCTGGAAAAGAGGTTAAGATATCATTACTTGAGATGATATGATTATCTTCCTAGAAAATTCACTTGTCATTACAACATCACAATCATAATCCCTGGTCACTACCACCATCAGTGCTATCACTACTCCAGTACTCACTCTGTCCCAGGCACCACATTAGGTACATTATACATATTATTAAGAACTCATGATCACAAACATCCTATGAGCTATGCAACATTATTATCCCAATTTACAGGCGAAGAAGGTGAGGCACAGAGAAGGGAAGACACATGCCCAAGGCCACACAATTACCATGAGACAGATACAGAGAAAGAAAGTGTAACAGCTCCAAATAAGGTTGGGGATGTTGAGAAATACAAGGAAATGTGAACTAGTATATATGACACTCAGTTCCTCTCTCCAATTCTCTTTCTGATTCTTGAGTCCAGTTTATTGCCAAATTTATTATTCCAGTAAATAAGAAATAATCAGAGCACTTCTGCTAATTGCAGTTAAAATAGTTTAAATTCAAGTAGTAACAGCATAAAAATCAGCTTTAAAAAAGTATTGTTAAGCAGTGTTCCAGGTAGAAAACCATACCGTGCTCATGGGTCAGCAGAATCAAACTGTTAAAATGTCTATACTACCCAAAGTGATCTACAGATTCAATGCAATCCCTAGTAAAATACCAACATCAACTTTTACAGATCTAGAAAAAATAATTCTATACTTCGTATGGAACCAGTGAAGACTGCAAATAGCAAAAGCAATCTTAAGTGAAAAGATCAAATTGGGAGGCATTGATTTACCAGACTCAAGGTATACTACAAGGCTATAGTAACTGAAACAGCATGTTACTGGCACAAGAACAGGGACATTGACCAGTGGAACAGAACTGAGAACCCAGATATAAAACCATCCTCATATAGCCATCTAATCTTTGACAAAGCAGACAAAAACATACACTGGGGAAAAGAATCCTTATTCAATAAATGTTGCTGGGAAAATTGGATAGCCACATATAAACCGACTTAAACCTAAGGCATGAAACTATAAGAATTCTAGAATAAAATGTTGGAAAAATTCTTACAGACATTGGCCTAGGCAAAGAATTTATGAAGAAGACCCTAAAGACAATCATAGCAACAACAAAAATAAATAAATGGGACCTGATCAAATTAAAAAGCTTCTGCACAGTCAAGGAAACTATCATGAGAGCAGACAACCTACAGAACAGAGAATATATCTGCATGTTACATATCAGAGAAAGGGCTTATAACTAGATTCTCTATAGAACTCAGGAAAATCAGCAAGAAAAAACCAAACAACCCTATCAAAAAGTGGGCAAAGGACATGAACAGAAACTATTCAAAAGAAGATAGGCTAATGGCCAAAAAACATATGAAAAAATGTTCAGCATCTCTAAGGATCAGGGAAATGCTAATCAAAACTACAATGAGATATAACTTAACTCCAGTGAGAATGGCCTTTATCAAAAAGTCCTAAAACGATAAATGTTGGTGTGGATGCAGAGAGATAGGAACACTCATATACTGCTAGTGGGACTGCAAACTAGTTTAACCTCTGTGGAAAGTAATATGGAGATACCTCAAAGAGCTACAAGTAGAACTACCATTTGATCCAGCAATACCATTACTGGGCATCTACCCAAAGGAACAAAGATATTCTATAAAAAAGACACCTGCACTCGAAAGTTTATAGCAGCACAATTCACAATTGCAAAGATGTGAAAACAACCCAAGTGCCCATAAATACCTGAGTGGTGGTGTATGTATACCACGGAGTTCTACTCAGCCACAAAAAACAATGGTGAACTAGCACCTGGATTGAGCTGGAGCCCATTCTACTAAGTGAAGTAACACAAGAATGGAAAAACAAGCACCACATGTACTCACCATTAAGTTGGTATTAACTGATTAAAACGTACGTGCACATATAGTAGTGACATTCATCGGGTGTTGGGCAGGCGTGAGGCAGCGAGGAGAGGATGGATATAAACACATCTAATGGGTAAAGTGCACACCGTCTGGGGGATGGACATGCTTAAAGCTCTGACTCGGGTGGGGCAAGGACAATATATGTAACCTAAACATTTGTGCCCCCATAATATGCTGAAATAATTTTAAAAAAGGCAACATTCCAGGCAATGTTACTTCTTATTCATGGCAAAACAAAAAAAATCAATCCTCATACTAACTCTAGTAATCTGGAGAGACTTGTAAAAACATCAGCAGAGGGGCTGGGTGGCAGCTGCCAGGACAGGTGCTATCACTGCTCCTTCACTACCCTCTTGTTTAGAAATGCAGCATTGCGGAACAGAGCCTGGGCGTGAGACCCTCGAGTACAGCAGAGAGGGCTCCCTGCCAGCTATGAGATTTGACCACTAGCATGTCTTTGCTGCTGCCATGGCCACGGGGTCAACACACCCTAAGTAAATGGCTCACATACAAACCTCTATACTTTATTGCCTAAATTCTAAGACCCTTTCAATCTACAAATTTGCAAGAGAAAAAACATTCTCTTTTCTTGCGCTTTCCCATGCAGGCACTGGAGCCCCACTCACCCATAGGTGCAGTTTGGGTGGCACAGGCGGCACACACGGCTGGCATCTGCGTACTTCCAGACCAGGGTGCTGTTTTCCCCCATGACTCCCGCCGGGCAGGCCCTGACACAGTGAGGACCATCGATGTAGTGGGCACATTCGATGCAGTGGTCTGGGCCCTGAACCAAAGTAGAGAAGAACTTTTATGCATATCTCTTTCTTTTCTCTTTATTTTTTCAAAATGGAAGTTTACTTAAAATATTCAGCGTGAAAAAGAAAAAAAAATCCAAAAACAAAGGACAGAGAAATTCTTAACATGGAAAACAAATTCTTGTGTGATTGCACTTGCTAAAGATGGCCACTGTTAATCGCTTGGTTCAAAATCTTCCTGACTTTACATGCACTTAATATATATAGACGTAAAAGAAGCTATACTTTATTGCATTTTGCTTAATATGCTATGGGTATCTTTCTTGTCAAAATCATCTTGACTGGCCTACATGCATATTTATATCTTTATTGGGCAGATAGTGTTTCTTGCAAATGATATTGGAAGTTACAAGGAAGCTCTGAAGGAAGCCGGCTTGCCCAGGCGAACTTGAGAAAACCAACATGTGTTTCTCCACGGAAAGAGGAGGCAGCGCGAGTGCAGGCAGGGGTGTGATGGACCATGTCACATGCCACATCTGATTCCGTTTGTAAAACGAGGAATGCCCTTACAAGACTCAGAGATAAAAGCGTGGGATTACTTGGGCTGTGTGCCCCACTTTAAAAGGGCCTGGAGTAAAACCCTGGGCCAAGTTCTGCACTGTCAGTGCGCTCAGAGCAGGCACAGCTAGTGACTGAGTCAGGGCCACTGGCCGCTTTAACAACAGAAATTTAATCCAACACCATGCAGACCTACAAACCAGAGGTTTACTTTGTATCTAACCTTGTTGGCAGCCTAGACCTCAAAATGCAGTCTTAATCTGCACAGAACTTCTGAAAAACATTTTCAATTAGTAGATTTAGAAATGAGTGTCGGAGCTCAAATTCAAACAGAGCTTCATATATAAACAATATTGAGAATTAACAACATTAGGACATTTGGTGTGAGAGACACCTAAATTCTCACTTACATTCTTTATAAGATTGTTACTGAACAGGTAGATATGGAACTGTGATTTTAAAACTGTTTGCTAGCAGTTTCTTTAAAAATTCCTCAACTAATTATAAATTAATATTAAACAAGAATTTGAGGACATTTGATTAAAATGATAAAGCAATGATGACAGATACTAGGAATGGTGGGAACTGGCTGACAAGAGCAACTGTTGAGTTTGGGGATTTAATAAATAAAAATAAGTTGACTTTTTAATGAGTTTAAGCCGGTTTAGGTGCGTGTGGTGGTGCAGAGCGGGAACAGCGGCGCGAGAGACTGCCCCAAACACGGCGCCGCAGCCGGCGGGCCCTGGGGACGCGGCTCCATGGCTGTCCTCTCCAGCTCCAGGGGCACTGGGGCAGCTTTGCTCTGCTTTTGTGAAGACTTTTCCCCATGGGGCGGGAGTGAGGAACACTAAGGGCTGCTCACCCGTCCCGTGCAGGTGACGTTCGTGGCCTGGGGCAGGCACTCTGCATGGCACTGGACGCACTCAGAATCCTCCACAAACTCCCTGGGCTCCCTGCCAGAAGCAAGAAGGGAACATCAGTGCCAGCCCGAGACACTGCTCCCACACGCAGTGCTGTGGCTGTCTCGGGACACAAGTCAGTTGTCTCAGAAACTCTGAGTAATTTGAGGTGAACGTCAAAGAGTTAGGACGTTAGGACTATATAGTATTATAAGAAACTGATTCTATTAGCTCTTCTCTCCAAATAAACACAGAAACTCCATTTATGATCAAACTATCTTCTCTGCATTTTTTCAAGGCAATTTTTTGTCTATTTAGTAAGCAAGACAAAGGATGAAGAAAAAAGTCCTTATGAGGTACCCCCTGGCCTCTGATGCCAGATTCATGGACATTTAAATTAAGCTGGACAGAAATGGTCACTGTAGACTAAGGGACGGGAACAGGAAGAAGGGATAGTAAGGCCCTACTCAGTGGTCATTAGTAAAGTGTGGAACATGGGCATGAAAGGTTTTCCACATCCCTCAAGATGTACACATCAATGCTAAACAAGAAGCTGATGCTTGACTAAAAAGACAAAACAGCTGTGACAGCTGCTAAAACTGACTAGAATCTGTTGGTCATTAGCTATAGATCTTTACTCTAAGCAGTGGAAAAGGAGTGTTTACCCCCCAAAAGTGTACGCCACAAGCCCTCTCTTCCAGCAAATGGCATCAATTAAACCAAATATAATACAGTGGTGTGTTTCTGCGCTTCTTCTCCCAGCCACTGCTCTGCCGAAGGGGCCAGTCCTACGTAGCGAGCAGGTGCTGCTGGGCATGGTTTCTCTCCACCGAGGGGCAGACACGGCACCCAGAGAGGGTGCTTGGGTTACTTTGCCTCTTAAGGGATTGGAAAATTGAAACCATGAGCTGAGTGTCTATTTGTAGCAGCAAAGATTGCACCAGTATTCCCTCCTTGAACTTTGAACAGCACTGTCAATTTTGCTAGTTACTTTGAGTCCATCAGCGAAGGGATTCCTACAGAATTGAGCTGGGTTTCTCGCCCTATTCCCGAATACTTCTGGACCCAGCTTCCATCCACACCTGGCACAGACATGGGAAGGAGGATTTTCTGAAGCCATCCGTAGTTCCTACAGCTCTTCTCCATCACAACATTCCCTGTTCTTTAAATTAAAAAAAAATTTTTCCCTGCCTCTATCCTTCAATTTTATAATACTTTCTATTTATTTATTTTTCATCATTATTCATAGTCATTCAAAGTCTTATATCAATACCAAGATTGTCACAGTATCCACAGCCTGACTTTTTATTGATGGAAACTGCATTCAACAAACATTTGTTTGTTGAATTATTTCTTTCTCCATGGTACTTGCACTGTTCAATGATTAGTGCATGCTGAGGATACACAAACAAAAATTGACCAGGAAATCCAATTGGTGTTAACATATTTTGACACAGCAGGACTAATATACTGCAAGAAAAAAAAAAGACCAAAAAGCCATGGTTTTGGCCATATAAACCATTTATGACTATTTTATTTGTCTTGGGAACTTTGTGTAATTTAGAAAATTTAAGATATTTCCAGGAAGAGATTCTATAAATTATTGGATTAGATTAAATAATAATAAAGCTTGCTTATTTCCTATTGTATTAATAAAAATTAACAGTGTGCCCAAAAGTAAACATAAACAAACAACATCCCCCAAGCAAAGAAACAAAAAACAAAGGAAATAAAACAAAAAATAAAGAAAAGAAAATCAAACTGAATAGCTATCAAGCTATAAAAACAACCCTGAGTCTTATTTTTGATCCAAACAAGGAACTGGACAAATGACCACATACCCCTCCAGAAGGCTGCACTTCTCCACACACTCCCTGCCTCGGCTCACGTGCAGGCAGGAGACGCAGTCTGTGGGCTCTGGGCCCCAGCAGCCCTCTGGTGAGCACAGGGAATGACAGACGTGGCCCGTGGCCTCTGCAGAGACAGAGTGCGTCACAGAATCCGTCAAGGAAGTGGGATGGAGGGGCCATGGAGACCACACCTCCGCAAGGGCCCATGGGCTCCGTGAGCTGGAGCTGCACAGGCTCGCAGGGACCTCCTGAAGGAGGAGGACACAAGCTGGGCTTCTCAGTCCCTCTCCCTCCCGGGAGCCCAGGACCCCCTGAACCAGACCCCAGTGGTGTTTTGATGACAAAGGCCACAGGTGGCAGGAACCGTAGGGCAGGCTGCGGTTGTCTGCTCTGTGCTAGGCACATGCCAAGAGCTTTGCACACAGCATTTCATCTCACTCTCTCAACAGCACTACAGTGCGGGAATCATTTTCATCTCCATCGTATGGATGAGGAAGTCGAAGCCGGAGGAGAGCAGCTGACCAGGGTCCCAGAGCCAGAGCACGTGAACTCAGACCTGCTCCTGCTGTGGCCAGGGGCTCAGCGAGGCCAGCTGCTCCCACCAGCTTCACAGCTGGCCTGGGCTCTAGCATTGGAACACGAAGTGTTAGTGTGATATGCTCAGCCCATCCTCTGTGCATGTGTCTACCTACGTCTTCAGAGGCTGAGATCAGCAGGGAGCAACCTACAGCCCAAATGTGATATAACTAATACTAAATTTAGTTCTTTAATTTGCAAATAATTGGTAGCCTAAACCTCAGAGAAAATTTATCCTGTGAAATTAGAATGATCTGGGAACAATTCTTATAAACTTCACATGACTTCATTATTAGGAATACACAGATTTTAATTTGCTTCTTAATGAGTAAAAAAAGTAATTTAAATGTTTGGTAATATCTAAACAAAAATAAACGACCCACTAGAACCATATCTACAATCAAAACAGAAAGTGATTACTTACTGCAGTTGTTTTCAACTCTGTTGTTTAGAATTTTGGTTTTCTGACTAGAGGTCCCAAATAGTTTTTTCCAGTTTATTGTATTTGCATAGCACAAATTTTTGTTTCCCGAAATTATTACATCTCCATCACTTATCTCCTTGAGGGAACGTAATCCTAAGGATGTTATGTTCAGGCCAACAACCGCAAGAGAAAACTGACCACTAAATTGGAGAGAAGAAGAAGAACGTTGTGAAAAATTATGAAAACAATATATCCCTAAAACTTTATTTTGTTTTTCTGGAGCACCTTAGATTTACTACAAAGCTGCCTTCCAAGGGTTGTAAGTCACGCTGTGGAAGGCATGTGTCACAACTTTTGAAAATTGCAAGTATTTTTTTAAGCTCCTCCAGGGAAAAGCAAGTTCCTTCTTTATTTAGCATCTTTAACCTCAGTGGCAGACTGAGGAGCAGAATAAATGTCTTAGTGTCATTATTTTATTTGCTACATTTTTATTTTTCCTGGAAATTGAGAACACAGTCTAACCTTTCAAACATCCAAATACCTTCAAAGGTTGTAGGTTTGTCCACCTACCCATCCATCTGTCCATTCAGACTCACTGAACAAACATTTGAGGTGCTATGTGCCAAATTCTACATCGGTTAAATATGTTTTATACTCTCAAGAACCCCTTGGTCTAGTGGTGAAAGTGTCAGCCCAGTGTGCGGGCGCAGTGGGCGAGGGCACCACCGGAGCACAGGGCAGGGGTCTCTCTGACAGGTCTGGGGCGGGGGCTCGGGGAGGAGTGCTTCCCCCGAAAGGTGACACCCCAGAATGTGAGGCCCCTGGGAGCAGGAGCCATGACACCTTTTTTACCACTCAGCGCGACGCTAGGCCCCTGGAAGGTAGTCCACCGGATGGCGGATGGGATCCTGAGACTGAAGTGGGGAGCCCTGAGTCGCCAGCAGGGTGGGAACACACGAGGCAGCTGAGAGCCCCTAGCGCCAGCCGCACCCTGACGGTGCGGGGGGGGGGGCAGGGGGGAGGGTTGGGTGAGGGTGGGTGGGGCCGGAGCGCAGCAGACCTTGGCACCTGCTGAGGAGCTCAGGCTGCCGTTGGTAATTGAGGGAACCACAGGAAAGCGGTCTGCGTTTGAAGAAGGCTCGTTTGAGCCCAGGCTGGGTACGGAGCCAGCTGAGCCAGGACCGAGTGGCAAAGTCCCTCTCTCCCTGTTACTCTTCTCCCCACCCTTCCTCCTGGCCTCCTGGCCTCCTCAGAAGCCAGAGGCCCACGTGGGAGACCTGCGACCTCCAGTCAGGGATTCTCCTGGTGCCCAACCAGGAAAGCCAAGACACAAGGCAGAGCTGGGGGCTTCCCTACAGGGCTGGTCTAGGGTCTGGGCGAGTCGCCCCTGGAGCCAGTGGTCATCCTCCCTTGGGAGGGACCAGAATCACGGGACTTTTCATTAAATCGGAAAATAAGCGACCCATATCTTGTTTAATCCTTAAAACTCAGGAGGGATACAGACCAGTTATCCAAGCAAAGTGCCCTAAATCTCTCCTCTCTGTATGAGCTGTAGGCAAAGAAAGCGCCCCAGAGAGCACAGCGCACAGGGCCTTCCTGGGAGGCAGTGGTGGCTGCGTGTCTGGTACCAGAGATGCAGCACAGCCAAGTCCGTTTACAGAAAGCAGCGTGCGTTTCACATACTCTGACTTTCTTTAGTATTGCACCATATTATGTGCTCCCTTCTAGGGGCCATTATGGGAGCCACTTCTCATAACCATACTGTTTCCAAGGCAGATTTGACCAAGAGATTCCCAGACTCCTCCTATCACCACAAAAGGAATGATTGCTCTTACGACGTTAAAGACACTTGTGCATGCGCCTGCGTGTTTACTGCACCATTGTGAGCTGGAAAGCAGAAATCACGAAAAAGGCATTTAGTGTTAGAGAGCACACCAGGGCCCTCTGCTGTGATGTGCATAATCTCAACTGCTGATGTCCTGAGGCAGCACTGGCCAAACGCAATAGGTTCAACAGTCTACAAAATACCTGACCTGGGCTCTGCACAAGGGTCAGGCCCAGAAAGGGAAGGAGAGACACAGGCACTAATACAGCTCGGCGAGGACTGAGAAGATTTAACCAGAATAAACACACTCATGGAAGAAGAACTGGTGAGTTCTGAATAAAGCTCACCACCGTTCAGTGTATGGCAGTGTGCCAAAGCTAATTTCTTTGTCTTGAGCCTAGACCTGGATGTACGTTAGGGGAGGACACGTGGGCAACTCTCCTATAAGTCTAACTGCAAGATGAAAAGACAGAAACCAGCTGCCAGGCTCTGGCTATGGTCGGCTTACTGTTGCTTGGTCCTGCCGCGTATGATTTCCAGGTTCTCGAAGGCGTGGAGGTCGGTCCTGTTTTCAGGCCAAGCCTGAATCAGCAAAAACCCTGCCAGGCAGAAGGAAGGCTCAGACACTTGCCACCAAGTTTCTTTTTTGTGTGAGACATTATTCTAGGAGTCACATGAGACTATGATATGACAGTAAATGTGAAAATTGGATCAGATTCTTTCTGTCACCTTGACTGCGCGTGTTCACACATGTGCAAACCAAGCGGCAGTTTCCCGATGGCATCTTGCCTCCCCATGGAATTCCCCGTCCCCAGCTGCATTACTCCCGCCACCCAACTCCTGCCCGCGGTGCCCGTCCTGCTGCGGCTCTGGGACCCGCACTGGGCTCACATCTGACTGCCCCAAACAGCCTCCTGCTGCGATCACAGCTGCCGACCACTGGCCTGCTATCACGCACAAGAGGCTATGCTTATTTTTCTTATTTAATTCCAATCCCCAAACACCCTTGTTATTTAGGTGTTAGAGGTGAAGAAAGTGGGGTTCAGATGGCAGTCACAGGCCCAGGGTCTGCAGTGGCCCAGCAGGGGTTTGCAACCTCCTTGGGAAGGCCTGGGAGCCCACGCTGGCCCCACACTGGCCCCCCGGCCCCCCCACTACTGATTAGTGTCATGGGCTAGCAAGGTGGCCGGCCCACGCTGGGGAGAAGCAGGGACAAAACATGTTCTTGCATCGGGAGTGGCCTGAGCTTCAGCTTAATGTTTTGCTCTTTGTGTGCAGGGAAAACCACATTTTTACAAAGTATCACAGAATTAGCTATTAATGGTGGAATTTCAGAAGAAATATTTTTATGGCAAAGGAGAAGAAAATGTGTCTAAAAGTTCTCTCCCTAAAACACTGATTTCCCGTTTATGTTCATGTGACATGTCAGCACAAACCTGTTATTTCCTTCACGGTTTTCAGAATGTCCAGTTCCCTTGGGTCCAGCGGAGGGGTGCGTGTGAAGGAGTCCCTGCAACGAGGGGCGGGGCGGTTACCAAGGACCCGCCTGCACCAGCTGAGAGGGCCAGTCTGTTTTTCTCTATACAAGTAACTGAACCTCCTACTTACCCCCTAAATGCTACCGGTAGGATGTGGAGATCTCCACTGATGGAGGTGCAATTTCTGAAGTATTTAATATTCGTAGCATTTATAGAAAGTGTGTCCTTAAATTCGCCAATTCCTATTCCGTTACAAACTGTCAAGATAAGAGACATGTTTATTCCGTTCACAGCTGCCACGGAAGAACGGCGAGGCTGCACAGGCAGAGGGGAGCGGCGGGAGTCGGCCTTGGGAACTGCCACGCCGCTCCGCTGGGCTCACACCGCGCCCCAAAGGGAGGCCCATGGGGGCCGGGGCGCCAGGCCGGCTGGGGGCTGTGAGGGCGGCCCTCGCCCTCGCTCTCTCCTCCTCCCCACTTCCCACTTGGGCCGCAGTCCGGCGGCTCCTGCGGACACGGCCTGCCGCCTGGCTTCTCCAGCCGGGCTCTGCAGCGCTATCTTCATTTTAAAGAAACAATACGCCGTTTTTTGCTTTTTTAATCAGAGGACCCCAATGTGCCTGTCTGGCGGTGGGAAGGGGAGCCGGCTCCGCAGCCGCAGGGCGAGCTTCGGCAGCACGCGCGGGGCTCCTACCTTTGCGACAAGGCCCTTCACACTTCTTACACTTGCGGATGTTGTCTTCCTCCACCTCGTAGCTGTCTGAGCCGCAGGCACGGACGCACGAGCCGTGATCTGTCACCACGTAGTTACCTGAGGGCAGCCGGAGGCACCGGGTGAGCAGCGCCAGGTGCCCTGGCTCCCCCAGCGCCGCAGGATCCCTCTCTGGGAGCTGACGGAAAGCTCCTGTGCACCTGGGTTTTACTTGAAGGACAAAGACTGAAAGGTTGCAAATAGGACAGGAGTCACGCCCAAGAGTCTCATGCTTCTCCAGACTGCAGCATGGAGAGATACAGGCGTCACAGCAGGAGCACCAGAGCTGCTCGGGAGAAAGCATCCTGCCTGCTCACTCCTTCAAAGCACTTCTTCGAAGCTCATTTGCTTACTTGTAGAATCTGTCTTCAGGACGTATAGTTAATGCTTGAGTATTTATTAAAAACGTGAATCTAACTAAACAAACAGCACTTTCCCCTGTCGCGCACACATCTGAGGCTGCACTCAGCCCGGAGGGCGCGCTGTGCCCTCCCGCGGTGGCCCCGGCTCTGCACCGGCGGCGCCTGGCCTGTCCTCTGCCGTCCCTCGCCCGGACAGCAGTGCGTTCCCGTTAGCACTGACTTCTGCATGATTTCTAGGGGCTCTGTGTGCTCCCACTCGGAGTTCCCAGAGTGGATCCTCAAAAACACTTCCTGGACGCTGGTGGTTTGCCTCTGTGAATTGTCCATCACCGGGGCTCTCGGTGATTTCTTGCGGACTCTGAAGCTCTGCTATCTCTCAAAGATCATCTCTGTGTCATCGTCATGGCACACTTTCCTGTCTTAGTGTGGAATAAGGTGTATGGAGGTGTATGGAATAAGGTATATAGAATAATAGTGTGTTCACCTTACTCTGTCTTAATCCATTCACCTTACAATGGATTATTCTGTTGTGTATTTTTTTTTCTGCACCCATCCTAAAATTTTTCATTTACATAAATCTGGCAGAGTAAAATCCCCCCTTATAATTATTCTCCTAAATTTTTTCTCAACCTCCCCTTCTAGATATCAAGATTGGCTTCTAAAGCTCTTTACTTAGGCAAAGTTTCTCTTCTCTATTAGGAGGTATTTCATGTCACCATTTCCCTAAAGCCTGCAGCCACTAGCGGAATGTAAACATTAACACAAACAAGCAAAACCCAAACCCAAACAAAACACTAAAACAAAAGCTCTGCAATACCCCTAAGAGGCACAACTGCAGCCAGAATTTTATCTGCTCGAGAAGGCAGACCCTCTGAGACACTCTCTAAATGGGTGTTGTTGAACACCCGCTTGGCACAGAACTGAGCAGTGGAGCAGCCCAGTGGATCACGGCTTGGTGCCCATCTGACGACGGAACATTTTGGGCCACTGCAGAAGGACCTCAGAGGTGGGGACTGAGCCACAGGGGCCTTTCCTGCCACATGGCCTGGCAGCTGGCGGCTGGCGCAGACGACACTGCTCCGGGCAGACACTGCCTTCCTGCCCTCTGCCGTGGGGCTGGCCCTTCCCGCTCACCGACCCACAGTGAGGCAAGCACACTGCCCCAAAGATTGACTGCCCGAGATGGGGGACCCAGGGGCTCCCACAGGGGACAGGACAGGACAAGGATGCCTGACGAGTCAGAGGGCCCAGGTGAGCAACTCACGGGGACACTTCTTTACGCAGGTGGCACCAAAGCTGTATTTGCCCTCAGAGTTCGCGTCCATCTGGTACGTGGTGGGGTTGTACAGCATGAGTGGGGGGCAGGTGTCCTTGCACGTGGCGTCATCTCGGAACTTGCGGCAGACCTGTTGCAGAAGGGAGGAGCGCCAGTCAAGCGCGGCAAGGACACCGCGCCGCCGTCAGGGAGGAGCAGTGTGGCTCCGATCCCGCTCAGGAAGCTCAGGGCACAGTTCTCAAACTCAGGTGTCCAATTAGAGTGGAAAAATCTAGCAAATTATTTTCAGTAGAGTCAGAAAGACCTTTCTCTTGAAAGTATGATTTTTCTTAAATGTACCATCTAAGCTATGATTTATGGATTCTGATCAGAGAAAATATTTCTCTTTATTAATTTACAATTAGCAAAGGAGTTCACACATTATAGTGGTAACTACAGAGAGATGTTATTTTTTAACTCAGTTTACATTGTGTGTCCCTTAAAAAGAACACTGGAGGATACATTTTATAATTTATCGCCAAACTGTAGAAACCCTTGCCTAGGAAGGTGCCGTGTAAAAAGGGACAGATCAAATGCAGCAACGGCTTTCACTACAAAGGACCAATGCATGTCTTCTTCCTGGAGCTGCAGGTCAGAGCGGGCCCAGGCCAACCGAGTCAAAACCCCTGGGGCTGAGTCCAGTCTCTGGAATTTAGGGCCCTTCCCTTCCCTGAAACGACAGAGTCTCTGGATCTGTACGGGGGGCCTCGCCAGGCTTGGCGCCGACCCCAGGGACCAGCACTTCCAAGGCCTCTCAGGGACAGCAAGCTTCTGCCAGGCCTTCTGCGGTAACAGGGATGGAGGCGAGTGCTTCGAGGCCCCTTGGGGCGGGGTGTGCCCGGGATGTCTGAGCGGCGGTGGAGAGAGCAGCGGGGTGGCACCAGGACCCCCATACAGTCCAGCCACTGTGCTGCAGGTCTGTGTGGCTCTCGGCGGGCCTCTGAGGGACCCTGTGGCAGCCAGGCTCTGGGCCTCGAGAGCTGAGAGCAACAGCGAGCAGCGTGCTGTGCCCAGCGCCTGGGACGGAGGCCACATGCTTCATGCCGTTTAGGCCACTCAGCAGGAGGGACTCTGTTATCCACCACTGTCAGCTGAGGAAACTGAGGCACGGGGAGGCCATACACACAATCGCCGTAGGTATCACAGAAAGGGGTGGTGGCAGGCTGACAGAAGCAGCCTTGTCACCGGGCAAGGCCAACACCCACGCCTGCTCCGAGAATGCGGGCGGACGCGCTCCTCCCCGCGAGGCGGGAGGCTGACGGCAGCCGCTTACCAGGCAGTCGCTCTCGCGGGGCCCGGAGCAGCCGGCCGCGCACTGGTTGTGGCAGCAGTCGCTGGGGGACTTGCCGCGGCAGCGCCCGGAGCACTGCTGCGCGCAGATGATCTTGGTCACTGGAAAAGAGCAGAGATCCGCCTGAGCTGAGGGCGAGGGCAGGGCTGTTTCCAAGGGACGCCACAGAGCACTTGCAAGTGGTGGGGGGAAGCACAAAGGGTGTGTTTAGGGATTCTGTGGTTTCTCGGGGTTCCCAGGTGTTTACATTCAGCCAAACTCAGTCAAATAATGACCTTCCCTTATAGCACCTTTTTCCCAATATATTTTTTATTTTTTTATTTTTTCCAATATATTTTTAATCACTTAAAGAGAACTAACCAGGTCAAGTCTAGACTTTCAGACCTGCTATGTAATTGGCTACCGGCTAGATCCAAGTTTCTGGGCAATGCAGGACGCACATACAAATAACCAAAGTATACACCTGCAGGGAAGTCACGTTTCCACAGCACAACAGCCATCCCACAATTACATGTAAGGACAGATGGTCAGTTTTTAAGCTGATATATTGCTTAATTGCTTGGCCACTGAGCATGACAGCTACACTTCTGTCCTAAGTAGGACTCACACAGAAACCCTCTTGAGCAACATCACTCATGCTCTGGTGGGTAGGTACCAGGGGAAGGGGGCCGAGAAGTCTGGTGGCCCATGTCACCAGAGACAAGCCTTCAGCTCCCAGGGAACCCTGCTGACCATATTGTTAGAAGGCATGGCTGGTGCACGGTGACAGGCATTCACTTGTATGTGACAGGCTGAAGTGCCAAAAATAGCCCACCCTGGACTAACCCATGCAGTGAGATTTGCAAGACTGTCATTCACAGAACTGCTAACATGTGGCCCTGCAATTGAAAAGCTTTTTAGAGTCTTCAAAGGAAGCACAAATCCAATCCTTGCACAGCGGCAGGGAGGGGCGGAGCCTGGGATCAGAGGACAGCCCCTGACTTACACTTCTGGCAGTTCTCCTCTCCTGTGCCCCAGCAGCTCCCATTGGGGCAGCCTGGATCGCAGGTCTGGCCTGAAACATAACAGTAATAGTTAAATCCGTATCTTGGCAAAAGACAACGAGTGACCAGAAACTGATGGCACCCTTCCTGGGGTCCTGGAGCTTCCAAATGTCCTGGTCTCTGTTTGTTCAGCTGGTTAATTTGCAGCATGATTTCGGGGATCTCCGTATGAAAATATGAGCCACGCACTGCCTTTATTTACACGTCAGCAGTGGAAACTGAGTCTAAGAGTAATTACTGTCACAGGCCACGTAAATAGGATTCAGGTGAACTCAAGAGTCCATGTTCACAATTTGCCTAGCACCTCCCACCATAGTGTGAAGGAGTCTGGTCTGGCCGGGCCCTTGGGGATGTGTCCGCTGCACCCTGCTGCACCCAGTCTTGGGTGGCTGTATGTGCCAGTCTTCCTGGGTTGTCAAATAAAACTCCTAGACCCCACACCAGAGTGAGGCACAGGAAAAATTTATTATAAATAAAGTTGCAAAGGAACATTCTTAGATAAAAACATTTTTTTTTATATCTTGTATGGTTTTCACTCCCCTTATTTCTTTTTCCTATTATTCCTAGACATGATATTGATGTGTTGAAGGTATTTAGACTTGACAGCTCTAGATACACATTGCAGGTGTGTTACCTGACTGGGTTTTATTATTTTCTAGGTCTACAAGAAGAATATTAGAGTTTCTGTTTCTCTACAACCTAGCTGACCCAGGCGTCTGAAAATTGAAAGGAGCAAAATATTTAGCAAAGGCAAAAATGATGCATCCTTATTTTATTTTGATCTCCCTTTTATTATAGTAGAAATAGCATTATACTTATTTCTTGGCCATCTTAGTGGGGGGGGGCTGCTGAAGTCCTGGGCCCATGTTTCTACTTGGAACTTCATCTTTTTCTTAGTCTTCTTAAGACTACTTTATATAGTCACACAGCAAGGATATTAACCCTGTTCATGGCAATCAGACATTACACAATATGTCCCTGGTCACCATCACCATTTTTTCACATGGAAATGTCTTTTATGGTATGTGGCTTTGGCTTTTTACAACTATTACAACTATTATATTACAACTATTCACCTTTATATTTTCTTCTAGCACTTTAACACATATTAAAATATTTTATTGCATTTATTTAAAATGCATTTGGAATTTGTATTGAATGGAATGGGTGATGGATTTATTTTAATTTCCTCTTAAGTAAACTCACTAATTCTAACTTCAAATTCCTAACTTTGTCAACAGAAACACATTGCTGGGACACACTGCATAACTTTTCTGAATCTCAGATGCCTTGCCCATAGAACACTTATATCACTGCATGAGATACTTTTCTGGATAAAGATTAAATGAAATAAGTTCTCAGCAGGAAGGAATGAGTGGCACATGAAACACTAGTAAAGCAGGCCACTTCCCCTTGCCATAGGAGAGGGGCAGGTTTCTGAACTGGCCACTAGTCAAGTGAGAACAAAGAAAATACAAGTATCAGGCGGATGGTGATTTTATACTTTACAATACAACTAACCAAATATCCCTAGTTCCTTTTTTAAAAACCCTTCATAGTCTTGTCACTTTTATAGTCCCCCCAATAGTTAAGTCATTCCAGAACAATTTATTGAATAATGAATTCTTCTCTTATTTGTTTGAAATGTCACTTCTTTACAGACTCTGATTTAGTTAGGCTTATTCTTCCATGTTGATATCTTATTCTTTGGTGTCTGTTCTGAAACCAATACCATACTGGCTTGTAGTTCAAAGCCCTACAATATCTGAACCTTGTTATTGCGAGCACCTGTCCACCCTTCTTCTTCCCAGCTCTTCCTTAGTGTGTTTTCCCCCGGCCTCGCTGTGAGTAGAGGTGAGCCTTTTGGGGCTGCCTGAGCTGAATCGTGGCAAACTTGGATTAGCCCCATAGCCTATGCATCTGTTTTCTTTAAAATAAATGTGCATGATTCAACCTCCCCATTGTCTACCAGATAGCTGAGGAAATGGTAAACTTGATCTCATAAATAAAATAAAATAAAATTTTGCATTGTAAAATTCCCCTCTCAGTTTCTCGAAAACATAGTAGGTGTCAGGATGAGTATCTGGTAGAATAATACATTTGTAAGAGAAACAGGCTTGATTACCCACGTGTGTAGCAGAGGTATCCAAACAGCCCAACGGTGGAAGCAGCCCAAGTGTCCACTGATGGATGAATGCATGAACAAAATGTGGCCTAAACACACGATGCAACATTATCCATCCACAAAGTGGAATGAAATCCTTGACACGTGCCACCACACAGGTGAGCCTTGAGGGCATTTTGCTAGGGGAAATGAGCCAGACATAAAAGGGCAAATACTGTGTGACCGCACGTATGCAAGGGCTCTAGAGCAGTCACTTCAGAGACAGAGTGGAATGACGGCCAGGCCAGGGTCCAGAGAGGAGAGACAACAGAGAGCTGTCACCCTACAGGCAGAGTGTCGGGTCTGCGAGGTCAGAGGAGCTCTGCGTGTGGCAGCAACGACGGCTGCACAGCAATATGAATGCACAGCTGCTACAAAGCTAAAAGTGGGTGAGATGGTAAATCTTATATTACAGGTATTTCATCAAATAAATCAAGAAATAAATGAAATAAAGAATAAAACAAGTAAATAACAACCCAAAAGGCTCTAGCGGATGACTTTGAAGGTCCATTTTCTTTCAGACCAAAAACCAAGCAGGCGCCCACTGCCCTGTTGTGGGCACAGAGAGCAGCAGGAAATAGGGATCGCGTCTCATGTTAAGGAACTGGGAGCTCAGAAGTGGGAGCAGCTCGGGGAGCCTGGTGAGCGCAAGCCTGCGTCTCAACGCTGGCAGGGCGGTGACATGGCCCTGCACCCCATGGACGTGCAGGGCAGGGGCTGGGTCAGAAGCGCTGAGGGAAATATGGATCCACTTCCTCCCTGGGGGCTGTTCCCAGTTTTGCCGGGGCTCTGTGCGGGAGTGTCTACACCACTCAGCTGGAGGACAGAGCCCGGGCCTGGGCGCCACGGTAGGCTCTGCAGCAAGTCAGACGCACGCACGGGCTCGGCCAGCCCCTAGAGGCAGGATGGAGAAGCCCTGGTGCCCGGACTGGTCGCTGCCCCTGCTGCCTTCCCTGCCACACGGGGCTCCACTGCCTAGGGTGACCCGCCCTGTCAGCACAGGGGCTAACTCGTACCATGAAAGACAGAGTTTTACCTCTTTCTTAAATAAATGCTCTTCTAGGGGACAGATATTTTGTTCACAATTTTTTTGTCAATTTAATGTGACTTGACACTAAACACATCTCCGCCCTTCCCCACCCCAACACCACACAGCTCAAGGCAGAGAGAACATTTGTGCAACACTTACAGCTGCCCAGATTGTTCTGAAAGTCCACCGACATATTGCTCAGAAAGGCGTCGCTGACGATGTCCCGCCACTGGATGGTCTCCACGTTGCAGAGGGCAGGGTTGTTGCTGAGCCGCACAGCGCCATGCAGGATCTCTGCAAAGAACGGAGCTGCAGTGAGCACGCCTCCCACCGCCTTCACATCCTCATGGAGTGTGTGTGCATTTCCTTACATTTCCTCACATCTGCTAAAAAGATGCCAGTATGCAAAACCAGAGTCCCTGTGGTTAGTCCTCTGGAAGCTTCCCTGGAGGAGGAGGAAGACGGGGCCTTGAACAATGATTAGACATGTAGAAGTAAGGACAGGAAGGAGGAGAATGGGCATAGCACGAATGATGAATGCATGGTGAGTGGTGGGCTCCTGGGGAGCGATCGACTGGGCTGAAACTGTCCTCGGCATGAAGGCAGGTGGTGACCCAAGCGCTGTGGATCTGGAATGCCAGGAAGGGGTGGGCAGCCTGCAACTAGCACACCCCCAGGCGCCTGGGGAGGATTTCCACTGGAGAAGAAGGGTGAGGGTGGCATGGGGCAGCAAGAATCCACATGGATGACAAAGAGACAGGCAGATACCAGGGGCACAAGGGATGTGTGATGTCCTACAATTGTTTCCAAGGAAGAGCTGAGAGGATGTGCAAAATCAAAAGTGAAAAAAATCAAGCCTGTACAAAGGGAGAGTGTTGTCATGCCAATGACATTTAATAGCAACATTTACAGAACGGCTCATGTGCACACAACCCTGTGCCAGTGCCATGGGGTCAGCAAAGATGAGCAGGACCTGCTGGCTTCCCTCTGAGAACGACAGGCCCGGGGGACTAACATGTCACACAGTGTAACAACCCACACCTGCAGGAGACCCTGACGCGTGGCGAGGAGGGTACTGTGCCGGTGGATTTGTAAGCATTATCTTCACTAATCCTCATGATTGCTCAGTGACCACCTGCCACATAAATACAGAAATAAACCACCCTTAGATATATAAAAAAAATGCCCACAGGCAGGGAATGGACGTGCCACGCAGAAAAGGAAGGCTTCCCTTGGGAGAGTCTTGGCGGCTGACGGAAAGAGTGAGATTGCCACCAGCGAGGTGGACAGGTGGGACTGGAGGAGGAGGAGGAGGAGGAGAAAGGGCACTGCAGGCCTGGCATGTCAGGCCCAGGGCCACGGAGCCTGGGCTTGCCACACCACGGAGCGGGAAGCAGGCACACGGAGAGGGAAGCAGGCACACGGAGAGGGAAGCAGGCACACGGAGAGGGAAGCAGGCACACGGAGAGGGAAGAAGGCACACGGAGAGGGAAGAAGGCACACGGAGCGGGAAGCAGCACACGAGCGGAAGCAGGCACCGGAAGGGAAGCAGGCACACGGACGAGGAAGCAGGCACACGGAGCGGATAGCAGGCACACGGAGAGGGAAGCAGGCACACGGAGCGGGAAGAGGCACGACGGAGCGAAGCAGGACACACGGAGGAAGCAGGCAACACGGAGCGGGAAGCAGCCACACGGAGAGGGAACAGGCCACGGAGAGGGAAGCAGCCACAGCGGAGCGGCCACGGCACGGGGAAGCAGGCCACGACGGGGAAGTCAGGCACACGGAGACGGAGCAGGCACACGGAGCGGGAAGCAGGCACACGGGGCGGAAGCAGCACACGGAGCGAAGCAGGCCACACGGAGAGGGAAGCAGGCCACACGAAGGGAAGCAAGGCACACGAGCGGACAGGGGAGGCGAGCAGGCACACGGAGCGGGAAGCAGGCACACAGAGCGGGAAGCAGGCACACGGTTTCCTCAGTGGATGGTGGGCAGTAGAGGATTGAGAGGAGGCTGGGAGGCCATGAGGCCCAAACTGTGGCGCTTGGTGTGGGAGGCGAGAGGTGGGCGACCTGGAACACCCCTCGGGAGCCAGCGCGGGCGGTGAGCCCGAGCGAGGCCAGGACTGGAGCGCAGAAGGAACGCCAGCTGCCCGGCGACTGGGCCAGCTCGGGGGCCGCAGGGCGAGAGCCAGGGCCTGCCGCTTGGGCACCGCGCCACGCGGGCTGTGCGCCCTGTGGCGGCGCCAGGCTAGTGCTCAGCGCCGCCCTGACAGAGCAGAGCGGTAAGGCTGTGCCAGGACCACGAGAGTGGCGGGGGCGCTTCCCTGGGGGCGCTCGCTTCTCTTCCCCACAGCCCCAGGACGCAGGCCTCCAAGTTTCCGCAAGGGTGCCATCCACATGTTTGAGGATGAGGACACCGAGGCACAGATGAAGCACACGCCCTGGGCTTCTGGCTGCTGAGGGTGGGCCGGCGTGGGTGCCCAGATGGCCGGCTCCGGCCGCGGTGCTGCAGGAGGCGCCGGCGACCTGCAACAGGCCACTGCACAGCACGTGGGGGCGACATAGGTCGCGTCGGCACGGACCTGGAAACACGCGTGGATGCGACACAAGTCGAGTCAGCACGGACACGGAAACACGTGTGGATGCGACACAAGTCGAGTTGGCACGGACACGGAAACACGCGTGGGTGCGACACAGGTCGCGTCCGCAGGGTTAGTTGGTGGGTGGGAATTTCTAAGGCGGTTTTACAGGCTGGCAAGCCAAGGAGCCAGGAGGGGAGCGGCGGGCTGGGTCTGTCCTTGCTGGTGTATGTGGCCCAGGGCCCAGCGCTGAGTCCTGCCGAGCTCCCGTCACTCCAGCGCGACCCTGCTCTGCACCTCTGCTCCGTCTCAGCCCCCACCCCCACCCCAGCCTGCTCCTTCAGACGGCAGGGCACGTGGCAGGGAGCGCCTGGGAGGGGATTTGGTGGCTGTGGCTGGTCTCTACTCATTAATTAGTCTGGGCCTTGGGACAGCTACTTTACTTGGGACTTGGGAGTGCTTCTCTGTGAAACGGCAGAGCACACACGGTTGCCGGCTTACCACGGCTCATCTCAGATTCTTTTACTTTGCCCTGGTATGAATTCAACACACGGTCAGTAATGCTCCCCAAATTTTACTTACGATATTTTTGGCCTGCAACGGGTTTATCCGGATGTTAACCCCATCGTAAGATCTGACTTTGAAGGAGGCTGTGGACTTTAAAGCCAGTTCCCAATTTAACAGTCTTGGCGCAAAATCTGCCACAGCGTGGGGGCACAGTGATGGATCTCTCCGATATTTAAAGTCAACTCTCTCTTTCTTCTGCTAGCCGCCAGTTTCCTCCCACAGGAGCCTCGCAAGTGTCTCCCACTTCCACGATGCGCTCACTCCCGTCCTCAACTGACACGCAGCCTCGCGGGCAGCAGCTCTGCCCTCGGAGCTGCCTTCGACGCGGGCGGAGTTGCAGGGGCGCTGTCCCTGAGGCCTGGGTGAGTGACCAGGCTGGCAGCGTGTTCGCTCCCCACACACCACTCATTCCCACCCAGCTCGTCTGGCCACACTCCTTCACCCAGAACCACTGCCAGTGCTCACTAGCTCTGTGGGCTTCTCGCCACACCTTCCACGACCCTGGGGGAGCTGGACCTGGCTCGACTCTCCCGTTCCCATTCCACCGTCTCCCATCGCTCCAGAACTCCACCTGCTGCTTCCTGCACACAGGTGCACTCGGTACATGTGCATTCGGTGAATGAAAGCTTCTCTGAGGGAGAATTAGGAAACTCAGGCTCGCTGAGTGCCACCGGAATCGCTCCCTGCATTACAGCCGGGTGTAGGCCCCGCCACTCACCCTGCAAGTTCCTCATGGGCAGCTCCCTCAGTCCCGACTTGTTGGCGCCATAGTTGGACAAGACTGCGAGGGCGTATGAGTTCTCATAGTGCATGTTTCCTCTGATGATCTGCAGGTTTTCCAGGGGGATCCTCTCCACTGTGTTGAGGGCAATGAGGACGTAACCAGCAACCTCCCGGATGGTCTACGGAAATAAAACGTGAACATGTTATTTTGCTCTTGAGGAACTGAGGAATTCAAGGTCTGAAATGGGTCCAGAGAGCCCAGGGCACCCAGCGGAACCGCGGGGCACGAGCGAGGAGAGCAGATGTGCAGCATGGGCGACACAGCCGGGCGGGGCTGAGGCCTGCGGCAAGGACAACGCGCTGCTCTGGGAGGCTGGTCCAAGGGGCTGTCCAGAGGCTGCTCCAGGCACCTCGTCTACTTAGAAGAACCAAAATAGTGTGCAGACAGCCACACTTTGAACACTTGTCCAAGCAGGGGCATGAGACTTCCACAGAAAAGTGGAAGGGAAGTCCAGGTCGGGGAGGAGGAGGGTGGGCAGCCTGTGTGGCTGCATCTGGCTGGCCGCCGGGAGCGAACGCCCGTGCGGGAGATGGGAGTGAGTGTCTCCCCGTGGTCCACCTTCCCCAGGGAAAAGCATCTGGACCCTCCTCAGCCCTGGCTTTAATTTGGAAAGTGGCTAGAAGACTGTGAGACAGAACCGCTCTGGGAGGTGTCCCAGGCACTGCCCCAGACTTGGGAGCCCACAGGAGAATGCCATTCTTGATCCCCCCTCTTAGCGAGCTGTGCAAGGTTCCGGGAGCCACAGGTGGTAGCAGCCTTTGGCGTTAGAGACTCGGGCAGGGCCTGGGGAACTGGCGCTCGAGTGGGGTCGGGCTCCCACAGCAGGAACTGAGAAACAGGTGTAGCGGGGCGCCAGCCACAGCACTGGAGCTGGGCTCTCCCGGGCCAGAGCAGAAGGAGAGTTGCTGGGAGGTGTGGTATTGACCTGTGAGGTGTGGGCTGGTCAGCACAGAGAACTGCAGCACTAACTGAATATTCTGACTGGCTGCCATAGTTGAGACCGAGGAGTAAGCGCCACACCAGGACCAGGCTGTGTGAGGGAAGCAGGTCCCACTCTTGCGGGCCAAGGCTGCGGCACAGGCACTGGCCCTTCCTCCTGGCTGAGACCTCAGCGCAGCAGCACTCACCCTTCACCCAGGTATTTTTCCAGGGGCCTGAGGACAGCCCCGTGACCCAATCTACCACCTGGGATACCTGACTACTTCGTGCAAGTAACAGAAGTCGCACATAAACCCTACTGCTAACACCACAGCTGGCTCTTACCTGCAAGTGCCACCTCCTGGCCTGGAGGTTGCCTGCGTAGCCCATTACAACTGCTGACCCGAGAGCACAGCACTCAGAAACAAGAAGAGCTTCTGGGGACCACTGCTGCCTTGCCCGTACCCCCCACCAGCTGCTTACCCACCCAGTACACGACTACAACTGGAATTTGAGAAAGCCACCACATAAAGGCTACTTATCACCAAAGAACGCATAAAGAGTCTGTCACTGTATGGACCCAGAAGCAAAGCCAAACAGTCTTGCCCAACCAACATCACAGTCAATCTTTAAGAGAAAAAGTACACAAAAGTAAATTCAAAAATAATAAGTGACTCTTACTCCAGATGGGTAGAAATCAGTGTGAAGATAAAAGAAGCATTAAAAAACAAGGTACTAAGACACCCTCGAAGGAACACAATACTTCTCTAGCAACAGACCCTAACCAAAAAGAAACCGTCAAAATGTCAAGCAAATAATTCAAAATATTGATTTTAAAGAAGCTCAATGAAATGTTAGAGAATCTGAAAACAAGTAAAAATAAGTCAAAAAATCAATTCAGAATATGAATGAGAAATCTAAGGAGAAAAATGTCTTATAAAATCCAAACAAAGAAATTTTGGAACTAAAAATTCATTGAAGGAATTACAAAATCTTGAGAGCTCCAATAATAGACTAAACTAAGCAGAAGAAAAAACTTGAAGACAGGTCTTTTGAAATAAGTCAGTCAGAAAAAAAAATTAAAAAAAAAAGAATAAATATAAATGAACAAGGCCTTCAAGACACACAGGACTACATAAGGCAACCAAATTTATGAGTTTTCAGTATTCCCAAGGGGGAAGGAAAAAAATCAAAACGTTTAGAAAACCTATTTAAGGAAATAATGGATAAAAACTTCCTAAGTCTAGCAAGAATTTAGATATCTAGACATAGAAGGCCCAATGATCCCTAGGAAAACACATTACAAAGTGGACTTCACCACAGCATATTGTCATTAGAATGTTTAAAGTCAACATGAAGGAGAACATTTTTTAAAAATCAGCAAGAGAAAAAAGCACCTAGTCACCTATAAAGTAAACTCCATCAGACTAACAGTGGACTTCTCAGTAGAAACCTTACAAATCAGAATAGATGGGATGGTGTTTTCAAAGTGCTAAAAGAAAAAAACTGCCAGCCATGAACTTTATATCCAGCTAGATTAAGCTTCATAAATGTAGCAGAAATAAAGTCTTTCCCAAACAAGCAAACACTGAGGGAATTCATCACCATTAGATTGGCCCTATAAGAAATGCCTAAAAGAGTCCTAACATAGAAACGAAAGGTCCTCATTCACCATCATAAAAACACACAAAAGTATAAAACTCATAGGTCTCATAAAACAATCACAGAAAGGAGGAAGAGAAAGGAATCAAATGGCAAGACTACAGAATTCCACCAAACCACAAAGACAAGTAGAGAAAAAGAATTTACAAAGACTTTATAAAACAACTAGATAACAACTGATATGACAAAAATAAAACCTCACATATCAACTTTAACTTTGAACATAAATAGAGTAAATATTCCATAGATTGGCAGAATGGATAGAAAATGATCCATATATATGCTGCTTATAAGAAACTCATCTTATCTGTAAAGAAACATATACAATGAAAGTAAAGGGGTGGAAAAAGATATCCATGCAAATGGAAAACAAAATTGAACAGGAGTAGCTATACTTATGTCAGATAAAACAGACTATGAATCAAAAACAGCAAAAAAAAAAAAAAGACAAACAGGTTTATAATATAATGATAAAAGGATCCTAGATATATACAGAGTCTGGATCGTGCAGATTCATAAAATGAATATTACTAGATCCAAAGAAAGAGACAGACAGTAATACAATAATAGTGGGGGACTTCAGCACCCCACTCACAACACTAGAGAGATAATTGAGCAGAAAATCAAAAAAGAAATGTTGGACTTAAATTGAACTTCAGATCAAATGGGCATAACAGACATTTACAGAACCTTCTACCCAACAAGTACAGACTACACATTTTTCTCATCAGTACATGGAACATTCTCCAAGATAGACTACATGTTAGGCCATAAAACAAGTCTCAATGAGTTTTAAAAAACTGAAATCATATCAAGTAGCTTCTCAGACTACAGCAGAATAAAATTAGAAATCAATTTCAAGAGGAAATTAGGGAATTATACAAATACATTGAAATTAAACAGCATGATCCTGAATGATCATTGGGTCAATGAAGAAATTAAAATGGAAATTAAAAAATGTTTTGAAACAAATGAAAATGGAAACACAACATACTAAAACCCCAGTGATACAGAGAAAGGTGTGTTGAAAGGGGAATTTATAGCACTAAATTCCCACGTCAAAAAAGTAGAAAGATGACAAATTAACAACTTAACATCATACCACAACTACCATGTGATCCAGCAATCTCCCTACTGGGTATCTACCCAAAGGAAAATACATTATTATATTAAAAAGATCCCTGCACTCACATGCTTATCACAGCATTATTCATGATGGCAAAGATATGGAATTGACTTAAGTGTATGGATGAAGAAAATGTGGTATATATATGCATAATGGAATACTCTGCAGCCACGAGAAAGAATCCATCTTTTGCAGCAACATGGATGGAACTGGAGGCCATATCCCAAGTCAGACAACTCAGATACAGAAAGTCAAACACCGCATGCTCTCACTTGTGTGCACACATGGAGACAGAGTGTGGGATGATAGCTTGGAAGTGTGGGAGGTGGAGAGGTGGATGATGAGAAATTCCTTAATAGGTAACAAGGTACAATGTACCTTGTATGTTATTTGGGTGTTGGATACACTAAAAGCCCTAACTTCATCAGATGTAATCATATGTAATACATACACGTAACAAAAATACACTTGTACCCCATACGTTTATACAAATAATTTTAAAAAAGGAATGCTGTGACTATCATTCTACTTGGTGTTCTACACAGATAAAATGGAAATTAAAAAATTATTTTGTGTCTGTCTTGTTGTATGATTTCTTATTTTAAAAGAAAGAAAAAAATCTCAGAAGGTAGCCAAGCAAATCCAAGTTCAACCACCACCAAACTCTGAAGCCTTCAGAGTGGCTCTCACCAGCTCGCTGGAGCCTACTGTGAAATAGTCAGGAATTCTGTGACCTGCGTGTACAGCTCTTGGGAGTTTGAAGCCTGCTATGGTGGGAGTATTCACACCAAGAAAAGGGGCAAATGCTATAAAACAGGGCTTCTTCTTCTTCTTCTTTTTTAAGAACTAGTATACCACCAGCACACCATGGCTGAAGTAATGGTCAGAGTTTACTGTCAGTGTGTGCGGTGACAGTGGAATGCCAGACCAGCCTGTTTCCCTTCAACGTTCTTTTCTAGCTATCACTTGACACTAGCTGGTAAAGTTGCTTTCTCATAAACCCCCATCTATCTGTTCCTTCCTAGGACTTGTAATCGCCATAGCAGAAGTAAACACTCTTTAAGTTAAATTCCGCTAACTCCTTTATCTACTTATATTTACTTGTATTATATTTGGGTAGGACAATCAACGTCATTGAACTAACCTTTAAGAAAGAAAGGTCATAATTCCTTTGCACGTAGGTAATTTCCAAATTCCCAAGGACTACTTCACAGTTGTTGAACATTCTCTGGAGGCTCAGAAAGTGGTCTTCAAAAGTGCCCAGCTGAGTGAGCTTGTTACTTGTGCCTTGGCAAACTGGAAGACAAGAGAAGATGTCATGTGAAATGCTGAGAAAAGTAGGAAAAATAAAATAAAACAATTTTCATTAACTTTATAAACTTTAGACCTATGATATTAATTCTGATTAAAGGACATATCAAGGCAAATGTGATGAAAATGTTTAAGTTTGTATAAGTGAACTTCATAATAAGAGATAGCTTGTCCCTATAATGAATGCATGGAATTGCATTACATTAAAATACACACAAAAAATGATAAAAATTCAAGGGAGAATAGATGAAAATGCTATAAAAGTAAAGACAGGATAAGTCTATGAAAACTCCAGTAGGCAAAAAACAAACATCATAAGGCATTTAAATAATAATTACAGGGTTGAATTAATAACTACATAATGAACTTTTTACTTTGCAAAAACATAGTATGTCACATTATTGTGTGTGCAAAGAATGTTTACAAACACAACATACACTAGGCAATAGTTCTAACCACAACACTGCACGCCTAAAATCAGTGACAAGACTGTCAGTTAAAAACCTAACTGGCTGGAGATTAAAAATATTCTTCTAAATTAATGCATCAAAAAACAAATCAAAGGTCTAATCATAGAATATTCAGAATATAATAGAAACAAAAACATAACATTTAAAATAACACTCAGCTAGTGAGAAACCAACACATCCCTCCGTCTGTCCGTACTGTCCATCCACCCAGCACAGGTGCAGGTGTGACTGCTCTGTGCCACCTGCCAATGGCACGCTCAGCCCCTAATGCACTTTTAAGAAATCAAACTAATCCAAGCAAACATTTAAATTAGGGGACAAAGCTGGACTATAGAAATGCACTTGGGAGGCTGCATTGAAAAGCAAGGAGGAGGATCATAGCAGAGTCATATTCACAGACCCAGCTCTGTGAGAGGCATGTCTAGGCCAGCGTAACAAAACGCAGGCTTGGGCCTTTGAGGCAAGGACATTGTGAAGGGAGTATGATTTGAACCGCAATGACTGTAAGAGTGAAGAAGCATGAACTCCGGCTTTGCAGGTTGGATTCAGACCTGGCCCTTCCGCATCTCCATGGCGCCAAGCAATCAGCGAGCAGGCAGCAGAGCGCAAAGTCAGCATGCGCACTTTCTTCAGAGCTCTTCTTAAAGGTGCGTCTCTGCCGCACAGGCTTCTCCACTCCCGCCCCGTGGGAGCTGCTCACCAGTGTCTCCAGAGCACAGCCAGCCCCGCACTCACTGACACGCTCGCCAGGCCGGCCCACGTGCTCTTTACTCCGTGGCCGCTTCCCTCTTCTTCCCTTCTGTGTTTTCATTCGTATTCAGGGGGAGCAAGAACTTTCACGTGGGAACTATGGAAATCAACACTGTGGACTCCCTGCCTCCTATGTCCAGGGCGGAATCCTTCTGTGGCTTTTCCAACCTCTGCTCTGGCTTGGCCCACCGTCTCTGGGCTGCTGCCACTCCAGAGCACAGGCTGCTCTGGACGCAGCCTCAAGTTCGAACAGTCTCGCAACTGTCTGCTACACATGCAGACAGGGCCAGACTGATTTCCCAATTCTAAGCCCCTTCCAGACATCGCCACTCATGTAGGTACAGGGTTTTGACAAGAACACATGACCTTCCAGGTGACACACCTAGGAACGCAAGCTGCTTTCCTGGTTGACAGACTACGGCTTCTGACTCTCATTCTAACTGATCGCTGTGGTCCAAGTAGCAGCAAGTGCTGCTTGGGCCTTCCGCTAATCTGGTAAACAGGGTCAACTAGGACCTTGGGCTGAGCAGGTTCCAGAAGTTTCTTCAATGTACAGAGGGATGGAAACAAAGACAATTAATTTCATTTTAAATGATCAAGGACATTAGCTTGTAAGTTTCAGCTGAACCAAAGAAATTTTTATTTTTAAATCAATGAATAAGTAACTTTGGTCAGTAAAATATAGGACAGCATGCCAGTTAAGATTAGTCTGTTAGAAGAAGCAATATTTTTAAAAGATTGTACTTGTGTTTTCATTCATTTACTCAAAAAGTCATAAATGAGCACCAAAAGTATTTATTTGATGAATTCCTATCTATCATAACCTTTTATTATCTATGACTTAGCATGAATTACTTTTATAGTCAGAAAAAAGATCCTATATTTGGAAGATAATAGCAACATTACACATTACTGATGTGAATATTAATTCATAAAACATTTTGGGAAGCAAGTGGACAATCTGTGTAAACAAATGAATATGCTTAATTCTACATCATGATGATTCCACATTGGAAAACCTATTCTAAGGAACTAGACCTAAACATAGAAGAAGTTTAGCCAGGCACAGTGGCTCATGCTTGTAATCCTAGCATTCTGGGAGGCCAAGGCAGGAGGATTGCTTGAGGTCAGGAGACCGAGACTGGCCTGAGTCAGAGCAAGTCAGAGTTTGAGATTGCAGTGAGCTATGATGATATCACTGCACTCCACCCAGGGCAACAGTGAGACTCTGTCTCAAAAAAAAAAAAAAAAAGCTTCATGCAGACTGCTGTTTATTATTTATTTTTTATTAGTGGCAAAAATTTGCAAAGAAACCTCAATGCCCAATTTACCCAACATGTCTATTCTTGAGAATAAGAAAGCAGTTGATATATTATCTGAGTCAATATAAGGCAAGTCCATCCTGATTACCATCCTAAGGTTAACTACTAAAGTATGAAAAGAAATCATGAGAAGGCTATTTCTTCTGAGGTTTTCTCTTTTCATATATCCAAAAGGAGAGTGCAGCATGTAAGTGAGATCAAGGATGACGGTCAGAATAACTTGGTCTAGGTTTCCTGATTAAAACAAAGTATAAGTCTTGTTCCATCTTTGTACCAAATATCTCATGTTATAAATACAGAGCAATGAGGAAAATTTAAATGTAAGATCACTGATATAAGTAAAATTATTCAGAAAATACCAATCACAAACTAGTTAGGCATATTCAAGACAAAACTTCAAAGAGTAAAGAGCTTTTTAATTAGTCCAAGAGAAAGTTTTTGTTTAACCATTTTCTCACTGTGTGACTTTGAACCACTTCCCTAAGCCATGCCATGCTTTCCTCAAATATGAAGATGGTGACAATAATATTGACCTCTGCTGTGGTCTCCATGTGTCCCCCAAAGTTCTTGTGTTGAAAACTTGATCCCCAAAGCAACAGTGTTGAGAGGTGATTAGGTCAGGAGAGCCCTGCTGTCCTGAGTTGATTACTGCTGTTACCAAGGGAATGGGTTAATTATCCTGGGAGAGGGTTCTTCATAAAGGCTGAGTTTGGTTCCCTTCCTCTCTGTCCCCCGACCCCTCGCATGCACACTCTCCTGCCCTTCTGCCACAGGATGACACAGCATAAAGGCCCTCACCAGGTGCCAAGCAGATGCTGGCGCTGTGCCCTAGGACTTCCCGGTCTCCAGAACCATGAGCCAAATAAATTTATTTTTTTTATAAATTACCCAGTCTGTGGTATTGTTACAGCAGCACAAAATGAACTAAGGCAACCTCCCAGAATTTTTTTTTTAAGACTGAAGGACTGACTTTCTTTTATTAAAGTTAGCTACTGAGAATGTGACAGGAACATAATATGACGTGCATGTTGACAGATACTGGGGGACTTCAGTCAATGTATACTGCCCTGAGATATTGTCTAAACTGGCATGTTTGGATCTGCATATAGGTTTACTCTAATGTTAGACATTAAATACAGTTACTTTGTCTGTAGAATATTTATCTAATCAGAAAATTTTAAAAAAGGAACACTGTACTTTAGGAATTTCATAAAGATATGCATTTAGAATTAGGTATTTAAGCAATTTATTCAATGAGAAATTTAATATTAATTAGGGCTATACATTTGAAAATTAAAAGAATTTGTGTCAAGCTCCATACAAAATGCTAGTGCTCTTGTAAATGCTCTAGCTCTTGTAAATCTGCCAGCAAATTCTGTACATCAAGAGACCAGCAGGCCCTACAACTCAGGTCTTCAAACCACTAGGTTTTTGTTCTCAAATTTTATCATGAAGATTTGTAAATGTATAGAAATGCTGAATGAACTGTATCATGAACATCCCTATGTTAAAATTTACTATATTTGCTTTATCACATACCTATACATCTATCCATCTGATTTTGGTATGCATTTTAAACTACAGTAGAAATATCAGTATACTTCACCTTGGCATGTCACTGACTACAGTTCAATATTAATATACAGTTGTTATTTTTTTTTATTTTTTATTTTTTTTTGGGACTGAGTCTCACTTTTGTTGCCCAGGCTAGAGTGAGTGCCGTGGCGTCAGCCTAGCTCACAGCAACCTCAAACTCCTGGGCTCAAGCAATCCTCCTGCCTCAGCCTCCCGAGTAGCTGGGACTACAGGCATGCGCCACCATGCCCGGCTAATTTTTTGTATATATACTTTTAGTTGGTCAATTAATTTCTTTCTATTTTTAGTAGAGACGGGGTCTCGCTCAGGCTGGTTTCGAACTCCCGACCTCGAGCAATCCGCCCGCCTCGGCCTCCCAGAGTGCTAGGATTACAGGCGTGAGCCACCGCGCCCGGCCTACAGTTGTTATTTTTGAGGAAACATCCACAAACGGTGAGAGGATTAATCATTCAACAAATGCATGTGCCTGCAGAAACCAAGCTCCCATAGCGATATGAGCCTCGGGTCACCCTCATGTCCCCTCAGAGTTAATCCCTGCCTCTACGCACCAGAGGTAACCACTGTTGTGAGCTCTTTTTGCTGCAGAATAATTCTGCCTACTTTATAACTTTATACAAATGAAATTGCTGATGTTGCCCTTTGCGTACGGCTTATTTCACAGTGTAGTGTTTCTGAGATGCATCTGTGCTGCCGTGCTACACTTCGCTTTTCATGGGATTCAGGAAAGCATGCATAAGAGTTACCAGTGTATGATCCTGAGACACATAGGCTAACCCATGGTCTAGTTATTCTTTCTCTTAAGAAAACCCTCACTTTATCTTCACTGAAAATAAAAACAACCTGTCTC